AGAAAACAAACAAAATAATGAAACAGAATCCAAACATAAGTAGATAGAAACGCAATTCTGCTGAATAAATTAATTCTTGGTCTAAAAATGAAGTTTGAGTCTAAAAACTGACACAAGTAAAAGATAAGTAAACTACAACAATTATTATGATTCATATTTTGAAAAAAATAAAATAAAAATAGTACACCAGATTAGAGCAAAGTCCTAAAATGCAGTTAAATATTAGGAATGACTACATTGACCTATCAGCTTTAACTACACCTCCACTATTCTTGATCGAATAATTAAGGGACGTGTATGCAATTTTTGTAAAATAATAAGTTTGAAAATATACGAATTGAATATAACAAAAGGAACACAGAAATATTTTCTTAAGTCCTGTTGAATAGATTGAGTCATCCTCAAGTTTGACTTTGCTTTCATTACAACATAGCCTAATCAATAACTTGGGTTTCTCACTCTCAAGTTTTTCATCATTCATCATTTGAATTTTGACAAATATTCCCATGTTAAATTGTAAGCAGCCATATGATAGTGAGAATGAAATTCCATAGGACGGTAAAACCTTACCTCCCAATTATTCCGTTAACCATAATAACAAGGTGATGAGGGACAGACTTGGGCGAGGCGGCGGCAGCAGCGTCGAATAAATCACGGCCGCCGGTGTCGTGCTCGGCCTTGAAGCAGCCGCGGCCCATTCGACGGAGGAGTTCCATTTTGAGGGTGAGATTGGGGCCGGCGGGTCTGGATCCTGGATCGAAGCAGCAAGGGCGGAACAGTAACCGGGTCGGGTGGAGAGAAGGTATGGGGGGTTTGGGTCGGAGCACAGAGCCAGAGTCTGAGGCCAGCATGAAAGAGGTTTAATGTTGTATGCGTGAGTGCAGAAGGAAACAGAAAGTTTAGTTGTTATGATTTGATTGGAAGATTGTTTGGGAGCGGTTGCTTGGCTTGAGGTTGAAGGGAACTGGAGAGAGTTAGTTGAATGGTTCCCTCGTCTCTGCCTCACCTGCAGCTTCCCTGGTCAATGCTGACACCATTGTTTTATTGCAACTTCAACCCTGCACATGTGCATAAATTATTACATCACCATTTCAACTCATTCTGTTGTTTTCCAAGAATTACGCAAGGAATCGTAATTTATTGTCCCACTTCTATTTTAAAATATATTTTTTAAATTTTTAGTTATATTAAAATGATATTAATATAACTTCAGTTTTTTATATTTTAATAATAATACTTTTTATAATATTAATAGTTTTAAAGTATTTCATTATTATTTATATTATTAATTTCAATAATAAGTATTATTATATTAGTTTTATTAATATTATTATAAATACAATTTTATAATTATTAATATTAAAATAATATATTATTAATATTATCTTATTTATTAATATTATTTTAGCATTAACAATATTATTATTAGTATTTGTTATTAATATCACTATCATTAATATAATACATATTATTTAAATAATATTAATAAAACTAATAATATTAATAATTTTGATGATAAAATTAATATTATTATTATTATTATTATTATTATTTTACTATTAACAAAAATAAAATAGTTAAGAACATATTATTAATAATAAATATTACTAAAATAATATTAATAATAAAATAATATTAATGATTTTGATATTAATAATATTAAAAATATAAAAATATTATTATTATTATTATTATTATTATTAATTATTAAAATTTAAAATTTAAAATATAATATTTTTATTGAATTTATATTACATTGTACAACTTCTTTTTAAAATTAAAATATAAATATATTTTAAAATAGAAGTCGTATTATTATGAAATATAATTTCTTCATTTTAAAGTTGCATTCATAATATATTTAAATGTATAATTTTAAAAAATTTTATCTATGTCGATAACTTAAAAAAAAATGCACCATTTTACTGCAAAAACTTCATTATTCTTTGTAAATATTACTCAATTTTACATAGATTTAAAGATAAAGTCATAAATTTACTTACCTTTTTCATCTATATGCAAACAACACATAAACTCATTCATTCTACTTCTTATCACATCATGCATGGGTTAAATTTACCCAAGTTTGTTGTCTTTATACTTTAAAGGATTAATATATGTTTTATCATTCTATTTTCAAATTATTTTTGATTTATATTTTAAAAATTAATTAGTTCATTCTCAAATTGAAATAAATATATATTTTATCATTTTTTAACGATAAAAAATTACCATTGAACGTTAAATTTAAAGTTAAATAACTGAGTTCTTCAATTTAAAAATATAATAAAAAGTTATAAAAAAAAACATGTGAACCAAAAAGATATGTTTATTTTAAAATAAGTATATGTTTTTTTAAATATGTTTATCTAATATGATTATTTTAAAAACAAAATTGTTTATATTAATTTGAAAATTGATTGTTTCATTTAAGTTTAAATAAATTGACCTAATATTTATTTTTCAGGTTATTCTATGATAAAATATTTCCTCTCTAAACTATTCTGAATAGTATTTTCTTATTTTGGATTTTAGTTAAAATGTCCAACTTTCACACCTTAAAATTAACATGTCTTCGTTTCTTTTTTGTTTAAACAATTATGAATATTATTATTATTTTTTAGTCAAAATGTGCAACTTTCACACCTAAAACTAAATAAGATAAATGACGATAAGAGAGATTAAGTTTTGTAAAATAAGAAGATATAAGAAGGAGGTTAAACTTTGTTTCAGATAAAGTTTAGAAAATAATTTCAAAAGTACTACAAAATATATCGTTTGACTTGAAATATTTTGCAAAAAGACAAATTCAAAATTTAACTTTGTTCAAAACTAGACATTAGATGATATAATTCACAAAAACTGTTTTTCAGGAAATACCTTGGTTAGAATTAATTTATAAGTTAGCTTTACAAATTGGTGTAAGTTTGATTTTATTCAAATTTATTTTTTCCAATGGACTAATCCAAATGTGTCTTTTGAATATACCTATATCAACTAATAGAAGGTGTTGTCTATAGTTTGATTAGAACATAAAATATCATTTGATAATTATAAAGTATTTGAAAAAAAATATTTCGCAACATTAAATAATACTCTTTCAAAACAAGTATACAAAATATGGATGGAATAAATAAGTAGGTAAGACAACAGATATATATAAAAAAAAAAGAGAGAGTTTTATATTGTTTTACTTAATTTAAGTTATGTATATTCTTCTGACAGATTGTTGGAGGACTCCACTGTAATTATCATGTTACAACCAACTATTATTTATTGTTACTTCTGTCTTACAACAAATACAAAGTCACTATTCATTATCATTTAACTTTGTCTTGAGTTAAGAACAAATTCACAACGTCACTCGTAAAACATCGAGTATTTTTTTTGTTCTAGTTTTTTTTTTTTTCACTAGATTACTTCTAACTTTTTGAGTACATTAAGTCTCTTCAAACATCTCAAATAAAAGTTTGATAAAGTTACAAATAGTTTTCCTATATGCTAGAGATTCAACTTCACGTGGTGAAGAATATATATATATATATATATATATATATATATATATATATATATATAATATCATTAAAACTATATAAGTATAGTATCCAAACATTCATACCTATTTCATGATTCCATCGTTTTTACATGTTTTCATTTTTAATTTCTTGTTTGATTGACCCTCTTCTTCCTCCTTCGTCTCCATATCATGTATTTTACTCAACTTTAGGACTATCGCAGGCATAAAATAAAGAACCTCTCCTGTGACAGAAGCATGACACATCACCAATTACACTCTACAGAGGAGTTTATGATCGCCTCAATAACATCATAGTGTTGTTGACAACCTTTAACATGTTCGGAGAAAGTGACTATTTAGTGTGGGTCTAGTAGTATAATACGAGACTAATGATAACTCATGATAAGAACAAATAAGGAAAATAGAAAATTAAATTATTTTTATTTTTCAAATATTGGTTTTGTTTTTAAAATTAAAAAAAAATGTTATCTAATCTTCACTCAATTATATTTTCAGTTTAATTTTCTTTGTTCTTTGAAAATAAAAAATAGAAAATGGTGGAAGTAAACAATATATCAATCCATAGACACAAGTGCTTTGAAAATATATGTATAATATGGTTAAGCAAATGATAGTGTGATAATCAGGCCGAACTTTTAATTTCTAAGAGTTTTTTAGCTCATGATTGGAGTAATCACATTTGTAAGCAGTTTAGCACTGATGATTTATATGGTGTATGGAGTTGAGTTTTAAGATTCTTGTATCCCTATGAATTAGGGATTATATACTTTGTTCTTTCTTTATCTATTTTAGATATATTAGATGTAAATTTTTAAGTGTTATTTATGTTGTTCTCTAATTAAAACTACACTTTAATACTTTGCACAGTAAAGGTCTACCGCGTAAACCAAAATGAATAATATATGTAATTATATAAATTATTAAGTCCCAAATAACTTAATGCAAGCGTTCGTGAGTTAATTTGTCTTTCGTCTTGGTTTTGTCATTCAGTTTTTCCTGCTTTAACTAGTAGTCGTTATCTCTCCTCCTACTTCACTTTTGACTTATAAACATTATCTTTCATTCAGCTTAGCCGCCAAAAAGAAAAATGGTCATAACTTATTTTTGGCTAGTGTTATTTAAGAGACATATTATATAATAGAGGCCTAAAATGCAATTTCTTTTTACATAGAAAAGCTACATGAGGAGAATGATAACGTATTGTTTGCCCCCTACCACAAAAGGGGGTAAAAGATGGCATCAAATCAAACTGGGATCAAAGATATAACAAGGGTCATGAAGATTTTAAAATTACTTTGAAAAATGCCGCACATGTAATTGTTGTAATAGAGATCAATTTTCACAAAATTAATCTATTATAACTATATGTAGAATATTGTACAAATCTAAAAGTTAATAAATACCATCTGCTTGCTGTTAAAGTCTGTGGCAGTTCCCGCGAACAAAAGCAATAACTGGTGCCTTAAACGTCTGCCCTGTAGTTCTCCGGTTTATACCATAATGAGAAATCAATTCCCTTGCTTTTTAATTTCTCTGTTGCAGGTCCAATTCTGTCCAGAAGCTGTGGGGCACGCATATAAAATTGTATTATCATTAGCGTCACCAACCGTCTATAAAATTCACTCACTTCATTCTAGTAATTTATATTCTATGCAAAGAAATAAAAAAGATAAAGTTCGACAAAAAAGTAATAATTGTGAAACTAATATGGACTTAAATATTATGAAATGCCTAAATTCTACATTGGTTTGTATGAGATATTCTATAGCTTTTCCGTTTTGTTAGTTAGAAGTAGTTAGTTACAGCAGGCATGAGTCATTCTCATAGCTATTTCTTTGTATTCTGAAAACAAGTTGAATTGAATTCAGATCTTTCCTTTTATTCATATTTGTTCTTTTCTCTATAGAACTAGAGCTTATTCTGTAGGGGAGTGAAAGGAAACGACCTGGGTTAGTCATAGGAGTAGTTAATAAGGGAGACATATAGTACAGTCTACCATCGGTTGCTCTTCATTCTCTTGGATTTACCAATAGCAAATGTGATCCATCCCTTTTCTTTCTTGCTACGGGTCATCATCAGGTCATTAAACTTGTCTATGTAAATGATATCATCATCACTGGTGACTCTACTTGATTCAAAATATCATTGCAAAACTCAACTATCAGATTGCTCTCAAAATAAAGTGAGGGGATCACACATCAAAACCACAACTAATACCTAATCCTATTAAAAATTAAATCAAATCTATCCCTCGAATACTCGGGGCAAATAAAACTAGGAAGATTATACAAACATGAGCTTCAGGGCAAATAATACCTGAGACCTAGTGCCAAGTTTATTAGCACATTGATTACCCTCCCTCAAAGCAACTGCTACTAAGTTTCAAAACAATTGAGCCATCTATTACGAAGCCCTCAAGGAACAAAAGTACTATTAGTCTGGGCTGAATTACAAGTTGTGAATCACAATCATAGATAGTCCAGCCTCTACCAATAGTAGCTTCAATACCAAGAATCACCCCATCACCTTAGCATACAAGGCACCATGAATACCAAGATATGAAGAAAAAGGTCCTATATTGGAAGAATGATGATCTATAAAAAACCGTCACATCCAGATAAACAAGAGCCCTTAGCTGCTCCATCACTATTGCATTTAAACCAATAGCATGGAGAAGGAAGCTAGAAAACAAGAACATATGATGTAACCTTCCTAGCATGTATATCAACTCCAAAACTTTTAAGAAATATAAGTTCTTGAACAGTAGATTTCATACAGTCTGTACAACAGTTCCCAACTCTATAGACCTCAACATATATGGAGTTTTTGAGCCTTGGATAAGCAGGAACGAAGCTATCAAAACAGACTTTATTTCTGGCTGTCCATATGGCCTTCAAGGTACCAAATAAAGATGCTTGAACAGCTATTCTAGTTTGAGCAGTCCAAGGTCCTTGTAATGAGATGCAGTTCTCTTAAACATGATCCATTCCCTTACAGGTTGCACTTTGAGGACGTCCTCGACCACTCCTTCCTCCTCTTCTTTGTGTGGAGATCATGACAGAAGATTCCAAATGTGCTTGGACGTTCTTATTTTGAATTGTGGGAACTCGAATGAGTCTTGTGGTCAAGCTTTCCATAGATGGTACCTTTTGTACTATTAAAAGTTGATATCTAACATGTTTAAAGTCTAAATGTATGGCATGGAGGATCATCACCATATAGAACTTTATCCAATTTTTTCTTAGTCTCTTCTAATGAATTGTCCTTCAGGAATATCTCTAGTTCTTCTAAGAGAAGCAAGCTGATTGACAAAGTCGTAAAGATGATGAATATCATTTGCAAATATATTTTGAGCCTTTTTTCCAAAACGAGTTGCATGTTTTAAATGTACCCAATAATTTGGGTTCCACAAATTTGACATAGTAAGCCACAAAGCTAAAAATCAGTTTGCTTTTATTTGTTAGCTTTATTAGGAGGCACAGTACTCCCATCTTGTTCAAGGCGATCATGGAAACCTTGGCCAAGGAACCAATGTTCAACTGAGCCAGACCAAGAGAGATAATTTCTCCCATTCAATTTTTCAGATATAATGGAAGGAATCCTAGAGAAGGATACAATGGATCCAAAGGATATTTTTGTTGAAGGCTAGGAGGACCAACAGATGGAAGGAGCAAACTGGAGCGGGCTTCAAACACGGTCAACAAAAATAAAAATGAAAAAAAAAAAAAAAAAAACTCAAAAGGTGACCTTCAACATTGTTGGAAAAGGGGACCCAATGGTCGGACGAGGACTACGAAGGTCTGACGACCCTTAATGAAGGCATGTGGGGTGTTTTTGGTGAGAGGAGGATAGTGCATGGGCCACACGCACATAGTAGATTTGTTAAGAGAAGGCATGCGTGGAGGTGTGTCATTGGGCATCTCCATTCGGCACCGACAGGGTTGGTCGTCGCCCAGAGAGATGATCCATATCCGGTGGTCACTGGAGAAATCTAGGACGATCGCCGGCATATGGATGGTGGAAAACGGTGGTGACAATGATGAATTTTTCAACAGAGGAGAGTGTAGACCTGCAGAGCTGGGTTAACCCACTCTAATACCAACTTAAGAGTAAATAAAAGAGGAAAAATATGTGTTTAGAAGGCTTCATCACACCTCTAATGTGATTTTTTATTTATAATGATAAAGTATAAATACAATGAGTGGATGGAAGATCAAGGGACTAAAATTTGAACTAGAAACCTAGATACAAAGATAGGTACAACTCTTAGGTTCAACACAAAATGTTTGCTATAACTACACTCACCCTAATAATTCCAACAATTTGTTAAGTGGTAAAAAGTTGATATAATTATGCCTTGAATTATTATGAAATCACTTAACTTATGTTAATTCTAATATATTTTTCTCTCAATATAGGATGAATTCGAGAGTACCTTGATACAAGAGTAAGGAGCATAATTGGAGTAAAACTGGAAGAAAGAAGAAGATTTTCAGCATGGAAGTCGCTCGAGCGGGATGGATTCTCGCTTGAGCGAATGTTAGTTATTCTTCTTTGGAAGTCAGTCGCTCAAGCGACACAAGATTCACTTGAGCGAATGTTAGTTATTCTTCTCTGGAGTTCACTCGCTCAAGCGAGCATTTTGTCGCTTGAGCGAATACAGGTAACTTTCGCTTGAGCAAAAGTTTTCGCTCGAGTGAAAGACGCAAAGCCCAAAAGCCCAAATTTTTTCTACAAAAAAAAATGTGTTCGAGAAAAGGAGGCGATTTTGGAGGAGAATAAGTGTGACTACTGCTAGGTTTTCGTCCAATCTTCATCAATTCTTCACTTCTTTCACATTTGGAGCATTGTAATGGCCAACATGAGTGGCTAACTTCATTCTCTTAGGATTTGGTGCACTTCCTTTGAATTCTTTTGTATCATGGTAATATTTTGAGATATTAATCTATGTTTTGATGTTGTTATTCTTATCCTTTGTGCTTTGGAATGATTTATTCTTGATGTTTGGGTTATGATTGGAAAATATATCTTTAACCCTAGATCACGGTAAGAATATTTGTTACGTTAATTGCCAGGAATGGAAGGAATGTATCAATTGCTTAACATCCTAAACCTAATGCTGGAAAATCTCTTAATTGTGTGAGAAATCAATATTTATTAGGTTTTCTTATGAATTTCATGTGTGAGGGATTAACATGGATGATTTGAGTAGGCGACATCATCATTGTTAGGTTAATTGACGTTCTTAATTGACACAACCATGGTTATCGAACTCACGGGTTGACTCGTACACCCGTACGAGTCAGCGAGTAAAGCTATTGTTTACGGGTTAACTCGCATATAAACTCGTTTTTTGTTTGACTCGGAGTGAACTCGGAATAGACTCGCGAGTTTGAGAGCGAGTCACCGAGTTCGTAGGGAGGACGAAACGACAAACAAAAATGTCGTTACCATTTCGATTTTAAACCCAAACAAAAGCCCTAACCACCCAAATCGAAAACCTAAACGAAATTAAAGATTGAAACCCAAATCAAAAACCCTAATTGAAGAAGAAGAGAAAATCGAAGATGAAAACCTAGATCTGACCTCCCTCGTCCCCGCAGCTCAGCCCTCGCAACTTCGTTTCATCGCGTCGAGTCGCGTCGCGTTTCGCCCCCCGCAGCTCAGTGGCATCGCACCTCCAATCGCCTCGCATCGCAACTCCAGTCGCCTCGCGTAGCAGCTCCGGTCGCCTCCCGTAGCAGCTCCGGTCGCCTCGCCTCACCTCGCGTCGCATGTACTGCGTAAGTGAGTGCGAGGATGTGCGTTGCATTTCTCTAAAATGCAATGCATTTTTTTAACCGAAACTTTTTTTTTTTTATTCATTAGTAAAAATCTAGTCGTTAAGTTTTTTTATATTTTTTATTTATTTATTTATTTATTGAATAGGTAGTATTTATATAATTTATTCTCTGTTTTATTTATTGAATTTATTTTTTGTTGCATATTTTATCTTTTATTTTAGTTGTTTTTTATAGTTGTTCTAAAAAAATAAATTATTTTATTTTTAGTTAATTGAGACTCGATTTGCAATGTCTGGAAGTGGGACTGCTTCAAATTCTTGTGATTCCAATGTTAATGTATCTTCACTACCTAGACCTCCTAGACCTAGAAGTAAAAATGCTTTAGGAAACCGGACCGACATTGGATGGAAACACGGAACAGATGTTTCGAGTAATGGAAAAAAAGTTAAATGTAATTATTGCTCAAAAATAATCAATGGAGGAGTTTTTAGATTCAAACATCATCTTGCTGGTACTAGATATGATATTGAACCATGTGCCTCAGTTCCAGAAGAAGTGAAAGTTGTAATGATGAAAGTTGTGGCAGAGGCTAAAGATGTTTCAGAAAAGAAAAGGAGACGGAATATAATTGATGAGTATGATGATGAACACATTCAAGAGGTGGATACCACTCAAAGTAGTAGTAGTATGATGTTCAAAAATAAAGGAAAGGACAAATTCAGTCAAGGTGTTCAATCTACTTTAAATCAACTGTATAAGAAAGGGGATAAAGAAAAAGTTGATGCTCAAGTGGCGGAATTTTTTTACACAAGTGTCATTCCATTCAATGTTATTAGAAATCCTGCTTTTGCAAAAATGTGTGAGATGATTGGAAGATATGGAGTTGGTTACAAACCCTCATCATATCATGATATTAGAGAAAAACTTTTGAAACAAGCAGTGCAAAAAACTGATGTAATCCTTGAAGAATATAAGGAGGAGTGGAAAAGAACAGGTTGCACAATCATGTCTGATGGGTGGACTGACAAAAAAAGACGTTCTATTTGTAACTTTCTAGTCAATAGTCCTAAAGAGATTGTGTTTCTTTACTCATTGGATACATCAAATATCTCAAAAACTGCAGATAAAGTGTTTAAGATGTTGGATGATGTAGTGGAATTTGTTGGAGAGGAGAATGTGGTTCAAGTGGTTACCGATAATGCTGCAAATTTCAAGGCAGCTTGAGAGTTATTGATGCAAAAACGAGAGCATTTGTATTGGACCCCATGTGCTGCCCATTGCATTGATTTGATTTTTGAAGATTTTGAAAAACATTTGAAGGTCCATCAAACTACTATCAAGAAGGGAAGAAGAATCACTACCTACATTTATGGTAGAGCAATGCTAATTAGCATGTTAAAGAAGTTTACCAAAGGTAGAGACTTGATAAGGCCAGGTATGACTAGATTTGCCACATCTTATCTAACTCTTGCATGTCTTCATGAATTGAAAGCATCATTGATGAGCTTCTTTAGCTCTGATGAGTGGAAATCAAGCAAATTTGGAACTTCAATGGAAGGGAGAAAAATTGAGCATGTGGTATTAGATAGTCGGTTCTGGAAGAATGTAACCACTTGTCTCAAAGTTGCTGCCCCTTTGATGGTGGTCCTTCGATTAGTGGATTCAGATATAAAACCCGCAATGGGTTTCATTTATGAAGAAATGGATTCTGCCAAAGAAAAGATCAAATTTAACTTTAATAATATTAAGAAAAGGTAAAATTTATAAACTTTCTCTTTTTCAGATTTTCATTCTTTATTTTGTGTAATTATTTCTAACATTGCATGATTGCATCATTGTAGTTATGAACCTGTTTGGAACATAATTGATGAGAGGTGGAATAATCAACTTCATAGACCTTTGCATGCGGCTGCATATTACCTTAACCCTCACATGCACTATGAACCTAATTTTAGAAATGATGATGTGGAGGTAAAAGAAGGGTTGTATGAATGCATGAAAAGATTGGTCAAGGATGTTGCAGAAAGGAAAAAAATTAATTTACAACTTCTAGAGTTTCATTTTGCAATAGGACTTTTCTCAATGGAAAATGCAAAAGATTGTAGGAAAGTTATGCTTCCTGGAGAATGGTGGGAAATGTTTGGAGATGGAACTCCAGAGTTGAAGCGATTTGCTATTCGAGTTTTGAACTTAACTTGTAGTTCTTTTGGGTGTGAGCGTAATTGGAGCTCATTTGAAATGGTAAGTCAAATTTGTTAAGTTATTATTTGTTTTTAATTTTTTGTATTTAAACATTCATATTTATTTATAGGTTCACACAAAAAGAAGAAACCGTTTGCACCGAAAAAGATGAATGACTTGGTTTATGTCATGTACAACTTGAAGCTCAAAAATAAACAAAATAGGAAAACAAGCTTGCTCTCCCATTTGATGATATTGAGTCCGATGATGAATGGATAACGAGAAGATGGTGATAATGTTGGGATTGAGCCAGTTCAAGGTGAAGGTGATGAGGAAAATGTTGACATAGCTGAAATAAGTTCAATTGATCCTACTTTAGAATCAATTGATCTTGATAATATAGTGTGTGATGCCAATGTTGATGATGCACTCTTATCATCCGAGGAAGAGGTTGATGGTGATGGAGAAGATGATGATGAAGATGAAAAAGATGATGATGTTGGAGATGATATAATTAGAGGATTGGAGCTAGAAAGTTGAAGTTATTTATGTTTTGGTGATTTGTATTAACTTATGTATTTGGTGTAATTTGAACTTATATAACAATCATGTGTTGAACCAAGTTATTTTAGAATTATTGAACTATTGTTTTTTATTTTCATTAATTTTGATGATGAAATTCTGAATTTATATTATTATATAGAATTTTTCATATGAAGTAGACTCTTACGAGTCTACGAGTCGGGTTTACGAGTCCAGTCTACGAAGCTCTCACGAGTCAACGTAGACTCTCGATTCTGATAACCTTGGACACAACCATTACAAAAGAGGGATAAGGAAGGAAATCAATCCTAAGTACCTTTAATTGATATTTTCTCAACAATTTACAGTTCTTTGTCATTTAATTTCAATTCAACTCTTATTGCAAACTCAATCTGTTTTAATCTACTTAGTAAGCATAAAATTGGGAATTTCCGTTGAAATCGTTCCTCATGGGATTGACTTTTATTTAATCGAAATACTATACTGCGATTGATAATTTTGGTATGCTTGCCAATAATTCAACACAACTACTATCTTGCACTTTAAGACCATACGTTAGCTTGTGTATGAGGAAGGTTTGGCAGCACTAAGTTGTCCCTTTAAGCCAACATTTGATAAACCATGTAAAGGGTTGTGAAACTAACATGAAAATAAAAATAGATTATTTGTGATAAACATTTGTCTTTAAATGGTAATTAAACTTGTTAGTGTTCTTAATGTGTAAGGACCATCGGTGCTTCTTTATCCAAAAGGTGCAACATAAATGTATCCCAAAAGTAAAATCAGAAAAGACTAACCTTTGCATGGAGCACGCCATTTGAAACCAAAACAGATCTATCAAAAACACAAAATTTTCCTCCATCCATCCGGGAAACTGCGCCACCAGCTTCCTCAACCATCTTCAGGTGAATGGAACAAAACTAAGTACAATATTCTCATAATTAAATGATTCTTTTAAGAAAAATTACTCTTTCATGCAAAATCCAGACAAGATTTAATCACAAAGACGCAAGGCTTGCTTTTTGGAATAATTATCTATGATATAAAACTTATAAAGCATACCAAAACACCAGCAGCCATATCCCATGGCTTTAGACGATATTCCCAATATGCTTCAACAATTCCCAATGCTACATGACACATGTCCACGGCAGCTGCACCTAGCCGCCTTACACCCTAAACATCAAAGTCAAGAAATTGAAGTGGAAGGAAGAGAAATAAGGTGCAATTTAATAGATTTCAGATGAATACCCTGCTGACATCCGTAAATTCTTTGAATAGGTCGATGTTAGTAGCCCATGCATCATCATGATCATACCCAAAGCCTGTCACTAGAAGAGATTGTTCCACCTAAAACAAAGCAATATTACTTATACAACAATCATCAAGCACCAGATAAATAGTATTTTGAATTGTTACATTAGGGTTGAAATCATGTTGACCCAGGATCGTTTTCACTCTCTGTATTCTACGTATCATTTTATCGTTAATCACCTGATTAGTTGCACTCACTTGAATCCTTTGGCCATTACAGAATGCTCCACCACCTACAAGAGAACCATATTAGGAGAAAAGAGTAAAATTGTTGAAAATATTAGCAGAATCTTTTATGTTGAAAATCAATAAATAAAATATATTTTAATAAATATAGATTATAGGCACATTATCTCCAATTTAGAGGAAACAGTATATCCTCCAGTTAGGTGTACTTATTTCTATAGATTTGTTGAGATATGATTTATAAGATATATGATTTGATTATGTCATGTTTGACTGGCACTGGATATGAGAGTTATGCGGTCATCTTGGTTTAAATAAATTGAAGGCGGGTCTTTGGAATCTCCTAGTAGCAGTCTTTGGAATGTGAATCTTCTCAGGTCGGCAAACTTGTGTTGAGTACATTCCCTAGAAGCACTTCTCACACAAATTATCCTTTTTCTCTTGTCCATTCAGATGGTTGGAGCCCTAGTTGTGTCTCTTTTGTGTTAAGTTTGAAGTATTATGTCACATTTGTTCATGATTTTTCTATGAATACTTGGATTTTCTTGATGAAAAAATGATCATAATTATTTACCATTTTTAAAAAATTGTCTTGAAATTCATTCTTCGTGTAGTGACAATGTAAAAGAATATTTTTCTAAATCTTTTCACAATTTTTTAACATCTCATGGTATGATCCACCAATCCTCTTGTCCACATAAACCACAACAAAATTGTGTTGCCAAATGTAAGCATTGTCTTATTGTTGACACTGCATGCACCCTCTTATTCACTCAAATGCACCTTCAATATTTTGGGTCAATGCAATTCTTACAGCTAGGTATCTTATTAATAGAATATCCATTTTATTTGATGAAGGGATAATTGGTGAAATGCAAGCTTTAGAATCTAGTTTGTCTTTTCACCTCCAAGGAAATCTCTTGTTGGCTATCTTTGGTCGTTACAATTTAAGTTGGCACCTATGGACAAAGTGACCAATTGAAGGCCCAACTCGTAGCCAAGGGTTACACTTAAATCTTTGGATTCGACTATAGTGACACCTTTTCTTCGGTAGCCATGATGGCCTCTATTTGTCTTTTCCTATCTATGGTATATATGCACTAGTGGCTCCTTTATTAGTTGGAAATCAAGAATGCATTCCTACATGGTGATTCAGTTGAGGTCATCTATATCGAGCAACCTCCTAGGTTTGTTTCTAAAGGGGAGTCTAGTGGATTTCTTTGCAAGTTAGGAAAAACCCTATATGAACTAAAACAAAGTCCAAGACCATGATTTGTCAGATGCAGTTTTGTTCTATAGAGTTTTGGCATAACTCACAGTGAGTCTAATCATTTAGTATTTCATAGCCTTTCCTCCACAAATAATGCATCTATCCTATGGTGTACAAAGATGACATTGTTATTACATGCAATGATTTCAAGGGTATTTAAGATCTCAAAAGTCATTTGTTTAAGCACTTTCATACTAAAGACTTTGGTCAACTAAAATTCTTTCTGAGAGCTGAAGTAGCCCACTAGGAAATATGAACGATACTAGAATGTTAGATTGCAAACTTATCGACACTCCGATGGATTTGAGTGCCAAACTTCTTCTAAATCAGGGGAAGCCCTTCGCGAATCCTATAAAATATCGAAGATTAGTTGGAAACCTAAACTATCTCTCCATGACTAGACTTGATATATCCTTTCCATTTAGTGTTGTAAGTCAATTCCTCAATTCTTCGTTGTAAAAGTCATTGGGATATTGTCATTAGAATTGTGAGGTCTATAAGAGGGTTTCCAAGAAAAAGTTAATTTATAAGAATAGAAATCAGACTGTGATATCATTGCATACACATATAAGGATTGGGCTAGTTCTCTAAGTGATCACAAGTCAACCTCAGGACATTGTGTTCTAATTGGTGGGTGTTGAATATAGAGAAAAAAGAATTTGAGATTAATCTCCCTTGTGTATAAACTACACATAGGGTAATCTATTTATAATAGAGAGAGGTACAACTAAAAGAGTAATTGAAAGTAAACAGAATAAACAGAAGATATTGTTTGATATTGTGATTAACAATATCTAACAATATCAAACAATATCTAACAGTGGGAATCTCATTTTGTGGAAGAGCAAGAAACAAATTAAAGTGGTCAGGACTAGTGCAGCAGCTAAATCAAGTCATGTCCATTACTACGTGTGAGCTGATTTGAAACAACTGCTTAGTGAACTCAATTTTTGTATTGGGTCCATGAAACTTATTTGTGACAACCAAGCAACCATGCATATAGCATCTAATCTGGTCCTCCATGAATGGACCGAACACATTCAAATGCACTATCACTTTATGTGACAAAAGATAACTTCTTATGAAGTCATCATTCCTTTTATTGATTCAAATGAGCAATTAGCAGTTATCTTCACCAAGTCCCTTAGAGAGTTGAGGATATCCTCCATCTACTACAAGTTGGATATGCTCAAGCTTGAGCAGAAGTGTTGAGATGTGATTTGTTGATATATGATTTCAAAAGATGTGATTTGATTATGTTAGAGATATGATTTGATTACATTGAATACAAAGATATGATTTGGTTACATTAAATAGAGAGATATGATATGATTTTATAGGAAAATATCTTATCAAATATTTCTCATTATTAACTATTGATTTTGTTCCTTATTATTTCTTTTCATTATAAATAAGAATACTCATGTATCTACAAATCACACAACTACAAACAATTCAAATCGGTCTGAGTGTGATATTCAAGTTGATCTATATAATCCTTACTGGTACCCCGCTGTATTCATCAAACACGTGGTTTCAATCTATCTGTCTCTTTCCTTTACCCTTCAATAAAAAATAAACTATTAAACTTAATTTTTATTAAGGGATTCATGGAAGTCAGGAAATTTGCTTTTACCTGCAGTTGCAGAGAACAGGCGAGTATTCCAACACATTGGACCTCCAACAAACTCAACCTGAAAAAAAAAAAAAACAAAGATATCTATCATGCTGACATATCTTCTCTTGTCCAAAATTGTTACACTCAAGTTTACAAACACTTGTTTAGAACTCGACTAGTAAGCTCCACTCCACTCAAACTCTTGTTAAGAGTTTACTTTTTAAGAGGTAATATTAAAAAGTCTACTATGTGTGTGCATCTATTATGTGTCACACACAAGACCAAGACTACAACAAATGGTGATTTTAGTTATACAATATAAGTATAATTTATAAAAAAGTCGAAATAAACATAACACTAAATAATCTGTTGAAAATGTCAATGGACAAAAATGACTAAGAATAACCCTGACCAGAAAGTAAATCAACTAAATCGCATCAGCATATTAAAAAGAAACAAAACAGAACCACAATATTCAAAATGAGAAAAATATAGCATCTGAATAAATAAACTTTACAAACCATAGGAGTATTGCAAGAAATCCACAAAAAACGAAAAAAGATAGCTATGGTTGGAGCATTGCTCGTTACAAAATGACAACAATCATGAAAGCAAACAAAAGATAAACCCTGCACTGGGAGAAGGGCCACTCTTACTCTCAGTGACCTTCCAATAATTTTTATTTTATCCTTTTCTTTAATAAAAGAAAATGTGTTGAATTCTATCCAGGTCAGCACTTCAGCCTGCATCAATCATTTGCAGCACACCAAGAATCCATATAAAGGAATAAAGAACTCTCAAATTTTGATATTGAATTAAAATACTGATTTAGAATAAATGTTGATGTGATATTGTTGATAATTATAGACCCAAAATGCAAAATACAGAATTAAGATAGCGGCAGAGTCAATAATCTCACAAATGGAGATCCAGGATTACAGGTACATATCACAATACAGAGATACAGAGACAAATTATATGAAGCAGTTCTTGTTTATTTTCCTTGTTCAGATAAACATCTACACGTATAACATTAAATAAAAGTAAATGTATGATTAAATTACCACTGCAGCAGCAGCAGGATTCCCTCGATATAAAACTCCAACAGAAACAGCAAAGCTGGGATAACCATGTGCGAAATTTGTGGTTCCATCTGCAAATTTATCCAAGTTTTGTAATTAAACTATTCAAATAATATGCAGAAAAAGGAATGGATGAGGAACATGCACAAAAAGGAAAAATATATTTAAGGCTTAAATATATTTTTGGTGCACAAAAATATGACACTACATAAAAATTTTATTCATTTTTAGTTCCTAAAAGTTACAAAAGCAACGCATTTTTAATCCTAAGCAGGACATAATCCACATTATTTTCTTAAACGTAAAAACTAAAACAAAACAAAAAAACCTTTATAAGGAATAAAACCTTAAATACATCTGTGCTTTAAATAAATTATAGTCATCCTTATAAAATTGGTTTGAAAGGAAGTGTCAAGTGAAATCCCAGACCTAAAGGATCAATGCACCATAGATAATCAGATGTTGCATCTCCTATAATTCCTCCTTCTTCCCCAAGAATAAGATGATCTTCAAAATTCTTTTTCACCACTTCTAATATAGCAGCTTCACTCATTTTATCAGTCCTGTAATATTTACAAAAGCAAGTGAAAATAAGGTTAAGAAAATTACTCTTATTTGAGAAAGAAACAAAACAAACATGTAGACAAGTTGAGAGTTATGGTCGGTTATCTTGTTAGTTCCATTGTCATTTTGTATAAGTCAATATAATGTGTATTTTACCTCTCTGCAGTTCTGTTAAGAAAAAATGTTTCTTACAATAAGTTGATGATCAACAACAAAAGAAGTCAGGAATGTGTTTGGCTCATCTTATTATTTTAAATTTTAGTTTGATTTAATTTTATTAATTATTTTGTTATAAATCTTAATCACTTTTACTCAAACTATTTTATTTTCAATTTTTTAAATTATTTTTTTCTAAAGTTCAAATGCCTCGTATGATTTAGTTTAATAAAATAAATATTCATATAATATATACTTCTTTAGTCTGTTTGTGCGTACAAATTTAAGTGTATAGTGAAAAGTTTTAATAGTAATAATCAAAGTTTAAAAATATTATAACAATAAAAATCTTTAATATGAATTATATTAGCATTGATATTATAACAATCATAATTAATTGATTAACTCTACAATTGGGTTGTCAAGAAAATGATCTAGACAACCCACAATCTTCACATTCTTTATTGATGCATCAACATCATCTCTCTTGCTATATGTAATACTATCATATCATTTTTGGGGCCAGCTTCTTCGCACCATTGAGATAAAAAATTATGAGAATAAAATGATAAACCAATTGCAAAGTGGGTTACAGGTAGAGTCAAAGGCTATATATTAAGACTTGAGAGTGGTCAGGAACTAGCCAAGATGCAGAGGCAAACCAAGTAGAGAACAAAAGTGCATAGAAGAATTCCGTATGCACAAGAAAAAAAAACGAGAGCACCTCTTAACTCTAATGGACATGTGATTTTGGGGATAGGTAGATCAGCAGACAGAAGTTTTGACTCTGATGGTGGTGGCCTTGACAGAAAAGTTGCCAAAAAACTTCCACCATCGGCACCAATATGGTCTGAAAATTTAGTTGATGAGTGGATTTTGGTGATGCTTGAGAGAAAAAGCACTTAGAAGCTTATATAAATACATTCATCTCGAAATAAATTAAATTTAAGATGTAATGAATAAAAAATGTAAATCCCTAAGGGCAATCAAAGCAAAAATAATTCATCTTCAACATGCAAAGTTTTTATTCATTGATCTATCCTAGACATTAATTTAAAACATAGGAACTATTTCCAACACTCCTCCTTCAAGCTAGGTAATATAAGTTGACGTAACAAATATATTAGATTCATGGTTGTCCAACGAGATTTTGCCAGGATGTTTGCATGTTGATCATTTGAGCTTATAGAATCACTAATTATTTCTCATTACAAAACCTTCCCACGAACAGTGACAGACATTTTTTATATGTGGTTCTCTCAGGAATCACTAGAATAGATGCTATATGAAGAGTTTATTGATTATTACAATGCAACTTCATTTGTTAAACATCATAAAACTTCAACTTTTGAAGTTGTTTCATCTAGACAAATGCATATGTAGTTGTAGCCTTAAGCCTGTATTTTGTTTTTGCACTAAACTGAGCAACAACATTTTATTTCTTACTCCCAAGGGAGAATATTTACACCTATAGATTCATAGTAACCTGTACTAGAATGTCTATCAATTGGAGACACTACCTAATCTGCATGCAGTATCCAATGGGTATCTCCTTTATCTTAATATAACCGTCCTTGTCCAAGAGTCTTTTTAATGTACTTGAGAACACAAATCAGTAGCAAATGATCAGTATGAAGAGATTGCTTAAATTGACTCACTACTCCAAAGGCAAAAAGAAATGTCATAGTATAAGATAAAGGAGTTTTCCAACAAATCTTCAATATCTTTTGGGAATTGAATATGGTTCTCCTTGATTGGGAAACAATTTTTAATTAAGATCTGTGGGACTATTTACAGGCCTACAATCTATCATACATGATTCCTATAGAATGCAAGTACATACTTTCTTTATGAAATTGTAATGTCATCCTTTGATTGCCCAACTTCAATAACAAGAAAACATTTTAGATTACCAAGATCTTTGATTTGGAAGTGAATTGACAAGTGTTTTTGCAATTGAAATCTTTCAGCAAAATCATTCCCTATAATGACTATATCATCACAATAGACAATCAAACAAAAACATTTATCAAAGAAGTGTGACAATAAAAGATTGAATGATCTATTTTACCAAAATTTCAAATTGAACTTTTTAAACCAAACTCGTAGAAATTGCTTGAGGCATTCCCATAATAAAGACTATAGATTTGTGTCTACCCTTTGGCCACCAATCTAGTGTCCAAGCCATGTGTGAGGGAGGAGACAGAGGTCAAATATGTGTCAAAATCTTCACTCAAATGTGTATTTAAGGAAAGTTTAGATTTTATTCTTATTCTCTATCACAGCAGTTTATTTGTTGTTAATTCTAGGATTATGTATTTAGAATAAATAGCATAATTATAGGATTTGTCTCCCTAGAATTAGCTGTTTATATTTCCCAAAATAGCCAACAGGCTCGTGTACATATAGGTCCAATGACCTAACAATTTAGTATGAGAAATAAAATATTCTTCCTTCTTAATTTGAGATGAGATGATATCAGAGCTCCTGATCCTAGGAGCCTCTGACTGCAGCCTCAAACCCTAAATCGCTGCCACCACTACTACGCAGCCTTGACCCATCGCAGCCTTCATTGGTGCCTCTATTACTCACTGCAGTCTTCATCACTGCCTTCCTAGCCTCACAGCCTTCATTGCTGTCTTCCCAGCTTATCACAGTCTTCATCCATGGCTGAGATTGTGAATTCCATCTCTGAAACAGGGAGCAAATTCCAGAGTGCTGGAGAATTGCAGAATATTCATTCTGCTTATCGGCTAACCAGGAAGAATTATCTTAAATGGCCTCAACTCATTAAGATCATATTGAAAGGCAAAGGAAAGGGCAGCCACCTTACCGACAATGCCCCTAGTAAAACGGATGTCAAGTTCAAATCATAGGACGAAGAAGACTCCATGATCATGGCATGGCTGTAGAATTTAATGGTACCAGAAATTAGTGATACATGTATGTTCGTTAAATCAGCAAAGGAAATTTGGGAAGTGGTAGAACAAACCTATTACAAGGCCAAGGATGCTGCACAAATATATGATGTAAGGGTGAAAACCTTGGGGGCCAAACAGGAAAACAAATCAGTCACAGAATATGCCAATCAACTCAAGTCTCTATGGATGAAATTGGATCACTATCACGTTATAAAAGCAAGGTGTTCAGAAGATTCAGCAATCCTTAAGGATTACATTGAACAAGATAGGGTTTATGATTTTTTGGTGGGCCTGAATTCTGAATATGATCAGGTTCGAATCCAAATTCGAGGAAAAGAGAAAGTCCCAAGACTTAATGAAGTGATAGCTATCATCCGAAGTGAAGAAAGCAGGCGAAATTTGATGCTGGAAACCTCAACTGTTGAAAGCACAACCATGGTAGTTGAAGAAGGCAGCCATGGTTGCTAACCAGAAGAAAAATGGATTTCCCAATATGGAGAAAAAACATGAGGAAGTATGGTGTACCTACTGCAACAAGCCACGTCACACACAGGGAGAAGTGCTGGAAATTACATGGAAAATTTCCAAGTCGAGAATGAGGGCAGAAACCTCCAAACCGAGAATGGGGGCAGAAAGGAGGTCCTCAAAAAACGGGACAGGGTCAAGTACACACTGTTAATGGAAATAGTGAAGAGGTTGGTCAGCTAAATCATGAAGAGATAGAAAGGGTAAGGTCCTTTTTGAGTAAATTGGATAAGCCCATAGGTATGTGCTCTTTAACATATCCCGGTAAGTTTCCACTTTCTTTTGGAATTAATGTTTCAGATACAGTGTTTACCCACCCCTGGATATTAGATTCTGGAGCTACTGACCATATGACACCCCTACCCAAATACTTTTCCACATATTCTCCATGTCCTAGCAACAAAAAAATTTCCACAGCAGATGGAACCCTTATAAAAGCAACAGGATAAGGAGAGGTCCAAATAAACCCATCCATAACATTAAAAAATGTCCTTCATGTCCCTAAGTTGTCCACCAACCTAATTTATATACAAAAACTTAAAAAAGATCTATCATGTAATGTTGTTTTTTATAGCAATGCTTGTATATTACAAGATAAGAACTTAGGGAGGATGATTGGACATGCTAGAGAATGGAATGGTCTATACTACATAGAGGATCCTAATATACCTACCAGAAGTCACTCTTATATCTAAATCCACTATGACCAACAAAGAGAAAATTCAACTATATCATTATCGAATGGGACATCCTTTGTTCCAAGTTGTGAAAGCAATATTTCCTTCCTTGTTTAAGAACTTAGATGTGGGGAGTTTATATTGTGAGGTGTGTGAGTTTTCTAAACACAAACGTGTACCTTTCCCGGTTAGTAATAAAAGGAGTCATTTTCTTTTTTCTCTTGTTCATACTAACATATGAGGCCCTACTAATGTCCCTAATATCTCGGGTGCTAAATGGTTTTTAACCTTCATAGATGATTGTACTAGGGTGACTTGGATTTTCTTATTGAAACAAAAATATGAAATTAGCTCTATTTTATTAGGTTTGTCTCAATGATTAAAAACCATTTTGGAGTTAATATTAAGAGGATTAGGTCTGACAACGCCAATGATTTTGTGCTCAACTCTTTTTGCCTAAAGGAAGGAATTATCCATGAGTCTTCCTGTGTCAACACACACCCCAACAGAATGGGATTGCAGAAAGGAAAAATGGGCACTTATTAAACCAAACTAGAGCCATGCTTTTTCAAAATCATGTCCCTAAGAAATTTTGGGGGGAAGCCCTTCTCACTGCCACCTACCTAATCAATAGGTTACCTTCAAAAATCCTAGAATCAAAAAGTTCCATGCAAGTCTTATCCTCATTCTACCCACACTTGGACCCTTCAAATAAACTCCAACCTAGAATATTTGGGTGTGTATCCTATGTACATGTTCATAGTAATGAAAGGGGAAAACTTGATCCTAGGGCTATCAAGTGTATATTCTTGGGGTACTCGACTAGACAAAAGGGATACAAATGCATTCATCCTCCATCAAGAAGACTCTGTGTCAAGGGACGTCACCTTTAATGAACAAGAGAGCTACTTCAAGGAACCTCATCTTCAGGGGGAGAATGCAAGAGATGAAGATGAGTCTAATGCCTCCAAATATGACATTTGGACTTGAAATTGGGACAACTAATGGTATTGGATCTGCTATACCTGAAACTAGCGTTGTTGGACCTGTGGAACTCGAGATTGCTGCAAAACCTGAGATTGGGAGCACTACTGGACCTGAAATTACTGTTGGACCTGAACCTGAAAGGAGACCAAATTCTAATAGTGGGAAATTTGGAAAAAAATTGGTATATTCAAGGAGAGAAAAGAAGGTCATTCCAGATTTTGTCCATGTCCAAGAATCCAATCCACCACCACCACCACTACGTGAGGTAACATCTTTTAATCCTATAAATAATTCTCTAATGAGTGTGATGTTGAAATATAGGAGGACCAAAACCTTGACCTTGACCTACCCATTGCAATCAGAAAGGGAGCCCGAACATGCACTCAACAACCAATTTACCCTCTATCAAATTTCCTATCCTTTAAAAAAGTCTCTCCTGCCCATAAAACACTTCTCACAAGCATAAACACTACACCCATACCTTCCTCTGTATCTGAAGCATTGTTTGATAGGAAATAGAAACAAGTCATGGATGTATAAATGGAGGCGTTAAACAGAACAATACCTAGGAATTTACCACTTTACCAATTGGAAAAAAACCAGTAGGGTGCAAATGGGTATTCACCGTAAAGTATAGAGCTGATGAGACCATTGAATGTTACAAGGCAAGGTTAGTAGCCAAATTCACTCAGACCTATGGAGTAGATTACTTGGAGACTTTTGCCTCGATTGCTAAGATGAACTCGATTAGAGTAATACTGTTGTTAGAAGCAAATCATGATTGGGACTTGCAGCAGTTTGATGTGAAGAATGTATTCCTACATGGAGATCTTGAAGAAGAAATATACATAGAGTTACCCCATGGTTATGATGAACAGGTTGCTAGTAGAACTATTTGCAAGCTAAAAAAGGCTCTATATGGGCTAAAACAATCTTCAAGAGCATGATTTGGAAGATTCACCAGAGTTATGACAAGTTTGGGCTATAATTAGAGTCAAGGTGATCACACTCTATTTATCAAACATTCAGTTACAGGGGAAGTAACTATATTACTAGTATATCTAGAAGATATTATAGTAACTAGGAACGACAAAAGGGAGCAACAAGAGTTAAGTCAATGCCTTACTACAAAATTTTGGATTAAGGCACTAGGGAGACTTAAATATTTTTTGAGAATTGAAGTGGTCCATTCTAAGAAAGGAAACTTCATATCTCAACAAGAATATTATTGACTTACTCAAAGAAACAGGTAAAACAGCTTGCAAACCAACAAGTACTCCAGTTGATCCAAATACAAAGTTAGGAAGTACAGAGGAGGATATTGTCGTGGATAAGGAAATGTATCAGAGGCTTGTGGGTAGGCTTATTTACTTATCCCACATAGGGATGACAATTAAACCCGTACCCGTGGGGACCGACCCGTCCCTACCCCGAGTTTGACGGGGAAAACCCGAGTTGACCGGGGGCGGGTTCGGATTTTTCCCGCTTTAAGAAGTCGGGAGCGGGGGCGGGGATGGGTAATGCAATCCCTACCCCGACCCCGCTCCAACTTTATATTTAAATTTAAATTTTAAAATATTAATATTTTTAAAGTATTTCCTTTTCTTTTTCTATTATATATAAGGTCATTTTTTTATATTTCACCAATTTTTTTTCTTCTACCTACTTTTTAATTTTTTTGTCTTTTTTAATCTTTTATATCAATTAATTTATTACATTATTCTTTCTCTTACCTTTCAGTCTTTCAAATTTTCATAATCTCTCCCATCAATTTGTTTTTTTTTTCAATCTTTTCAACCAATTTGATAAACACAAAGTTAATTTTTTTTATTCTTTATTTTTTTCTAAATATTTTACATAAATCTTAGTAGTAACTAATATTATTTTATTTATAATTTATATTTATTAGGTTTTATTATGTCATACTTTTTTTATCTTATTATTATTATTTATCATATATCAAATTTTATCGTAATAAAATAATTGTATTTTAAAGGATTAAAGGAATTGATAATTTAAACTTTTATTACTTCGAACTAATTGAATAAGAATTAACTTATTAAATATTTCCTTATAAACTATATATTTCATATTTTTAAATGACAACTTAAAAATGAATTAACTTATATATATAATCAAATGTTTGAATACGAGTATTGTAATAATAATGTTATAAATATTCAAATATTTGAATACAATGTTATAATAATAATAATGTTATAAATAAAAAATTATTAAATATTTCTTTTACATACATATTTTAATATAAATATAATAAATTAAAATGTATATTTAATTAATAATAATTATAAATTATAAATATTTATTTATATATAAAAAATAGATAGTAAAATTAATTTATTATAAATGTAATTATCTTTTTAAAAATAATATAGATTGGGGACGAGGCAGGGAACCGAAACCCAGCGGGGACGGGGACTTAATTTCTAACTCCGGTGGGGATCGGAGAAGTAAACACCCCCCGGTTGTCATGCCTAATCCCACACTAGGCCAAACATTGCATTTGCTATTAGCTTAGTCAGTCAGTTTATGCACCAACCAAAAGAAGTACATTTACAAGCTGCCCTTAGAATTATTCAATATCTAAAAGGGACCCCAAGAAGAGGGATTATGTTTAGACGAAACAAGAGTGTACGTATTGAAGCATATATGGATGCAGATTATGTTGGGCAATTGTGGATAGGAGATCAACTACTGGATACTGCACCTTCCTTGGTGGAAACTTGGTGACTTGGAAGAGCAAAAAACAGAATGTAATGGCTAGATCAAATGCAGAAGCAGAATTTCAGGCAATGGCCCAAGGAATATGTGAACTTCTATGGTTTGAAGATTATATTGGAAGACTTGAAGATAAGATGGGATGAACTTATGAAGTTATATTGTGACAAATAAATCTGCAATTAGTATAGCCCACAATCCGGTGCAGCATTATAGAACCAAACACATTGAAGTGGATAGACATTGCATCAAAGAAAAGCTAGACAATGGCTTGATTTGCACTCCATATGTGTCTACTCAAAATCAACTTGAATATATACTCACTAAGGGCTTGAATTGTATTAACTTTGAAAGAATTATATCCAAGCTGGGAATGGAGAACATATGGAGAACATTTATTCACCAGCTTGAGGGAGAGTGTCAAAATCTCCACTCAATGTGTATTTTAGGAAAGTTTATATTTTATTCCTATTCTCTATCACAACAGTTTATTTATTGTTAATGCCAGGATTATGTATTTAGAATAAATCGCATAATTATAGGGATTTGTCTCCCCAGAATTAGTTGTTTATATTTCCCAAAATAGCCAACAGGCTCGTGTACATAGGGGTCCAATGACCTAATAATTTAGTATGAGAAATAAAATATTCTTCCTTCTTAATTTGAGAATATGCATGAAAGGAATACTGAGAGAGGAGGTAAAGGCAAGTTTAGTGCTAACAATAGCCAAAGAAAAAAAAAAACAATTTGAAGGAAGAATTTTGAAATTAACATACAATGTGAAATAGGAAACTTGGTAGTTGACAGTGGAATAGTGACAAGATAAGTCCCGAAGGATGATACAACGATATCATGTTGAAATAATGAGCTTTTGCTATTGATGGAGATAGTAAAGTAAAGAGACTAAATAATAATATCTTGAATATTGTAATGTATTACAATGAGATGAAATGTTCTTAAACTCGGGCAGTAGTCTTTATTTATGGTAATCATAATTCTAACTATTTAGGAAGAGAAATTATGATATAAGGAACTATTCTAACCAATCTTGCATAGATAATGGGAAAAGGGAAACTAGTCATAAAGGATAATCTAAGATTTACATTATAATTTATATATCCCCTGATAGTTACCAAACAGGCTAGAAGTTCAAAAATTAGTACTTAATACACATTTTGAGCATAATATCACATCATAACAAAGCTTGAACAGAAAAGTATTGGGCAACTCAAAGGATTGCTCAAGTCCTTTGTATTATCCAGCTATATGAGAACAAGAAGGAAGATAATAGAAGAGACAGCACATTATTTGTGTCCATAAATTAATTTGAACATAATAAGATAAACATCCATTACAATACAATTACAACAAGACCTTACTCAGTCACCAAGTCAGTTGATCCTTTATATGTAATATTCCGAGGCTTACTAACAGCTTCCATCACAACCTGTAAATAGCAAAGGTGTAATATCCATAGGATGATGGTGGCAGGCCAAAACCTTATTAACTATAAAAAAAACTGTTTAAAAACTATGTAATTAACTAAAACACTTCAAATTTGTAGAAAAATAACTAAAGTATTTTCTAGATACACTAGCTACACATTACTAGATATAGTAACAATTTTATTTAACAGTATTTAAACATGACCTACATCCTAAAAAATAAGATATGAAAGAAACACTTACTAACCAATCATATGAATTTGCTTACTATCATCATTTGTTCCCTCTTCACCCCTAGTGCCAAATCTACCTTGTTGGATCTTTGAGTATGCAATTTTTGTTCATTATCATGATACTAACAACAGTAAATATATCCTAGAGATCTTCATTGGTTATCCATCTACTAAAGGGGGTACAAGTGTTATCATTGTCAGAGTTGTCAAGTCTTTGTCACCATGGATATCACCTTTCATGAAATAGAATCAATTTTTGTGTGCCCTTCAGGAGAAGAAATCACTTGAAGCGGAGGAGTCCCCTTTCTTGTCATTACCTTATTTGTCTTTGCAGGATTTTCAAGAGATATGTGATTAAGTAACAAATGAGATAGTAGAACTAGTCAACAATGAGGAAGAAGATGAAGAAGATAGATTCCTTGGCCAAAAGCATCAAAGAAAAGAACAAATCACTTTGGCTTTGTATCAAGAAGGGTTAGCTAACCTGATGGTGAGGATCCCTGATAATAATAGGGAGGAGGTAAGTGTTATTGAGAATTTATCCATTGCATTGAGAAAGGAAAAAATTGTGTGTTAAATATCCTATTTCTCAATGTGTTTCCACTCACAATCTCTTAAATAAGCATTGAAGCTTTATTGTTATCAACATGGGAGTTCATTCATAAACAAAGAGACAAAAGGGTAAGGCGTTGATAGATTTTCACAATGAAACACATGTTAGATGCGACAACTAGAAAGGTATAAAGTGAAAATGGTGGAAAATGGCTACTAACAAACTTATGGGATTGAACATGAGGAAACATTTGCTCCAGTGGTAAAGATGAAATATAGCTCAAGTTGTTTTGTTTTGCCAACTCATTTTGGTTGGGACTTACACCAGTTGGATGTGAATATTGTCTTTCATCGTGAAGTTTTAGAAGAAGAAGAAGAAGAAGGGTACATGGAGATTCCCCCAAGATTCGAAACTCAAAATGGATGGAACAAGGTCGCTGCCTAAAGAAGGCATTATGTGGTCTAAGCAAACTCCAAGAACATGATTTGAAAGATTTACAAAAGCAATGATTTCCTTAAGATATAGGAAAAACCAAGGAGATCATACGTTATTTATAAAGCACTCCCCTCCAAGTAAACTCATTATATATTGTTTGATTGTGGTTGACATAATTAATGCAGAAGATGATGAAATCAAGAAATTGGATTAAAAAAACACGTACAGCCCAATTTGAAATAAAAGAATTGGGAAAACTCAAGTACTCTCTTAGAATAGAGGTTGCTTACTATAAGAAAGGAATATTCATCTCCCAAAGAAATTATGTATTTGATCTCCTCCAAGAAACTAGAAAGTAGGGATGTAGAACCTCAAGAGTTCCTATAAAGCAGAATCATAAACTGGAAGTGAAAAGATTACTCCTATTGATATGACCCAATATTAGAGATTTATAGAACACTGATTTATCTATCACATGTAAGACCAGACATTATTTATACAATAATTGTGGTGAACCAATTTATGCATAGATCCAAGAGAAAGACATCCCATCCCTATGCAATTGTACTATGACAAAAAGTCAGTCATGAGCTTTGCCCTTAATCTAGTACAACATAGTAGGACCAAACATTTTGAAATTGACAAGCATTACACCAAAGATAATCTAGATAGAGGCCTTGTGGTTGTAGCTTGTGTGGCCCTACAAAATTTTAGATAGCAAACATTTTCACTAAGTGCCTTCCTCTGGGCAAATACCAAGATCTTGTAGGCAAGTTGGGAATGATTGATATTTATTTACTAACTTAAGGGGGAGTATTATAAATAATGGTCATTAGGATAAAAATATCCCTAAGATCTCTTTATTGTTTAGGAAAAAATATCTTTAGAATCTTCTTAATTATTTCAGCATATTGTGTCTCCTTATTTAGGAGAGTTTATTGTTACAAATAAAGGTGTTGAGAATGTAATTGGTGTGAATATTATGTATAAAATAATTTCTTGTTTTCTGGCACAATTCAAGTGTTGTAAATGGGTATTCAAAGTCAGAAAATGTCCATGGCTCTTTTAACAAATATAAACCTAGACTTGTAACAAAAGGTTTGCTTTGGTTTGATTTCAATGAAACTTTTTCCCTTGTCACTGTAAGATTAGGGCACACTGCCAACACTGTCTATATGCAACCATCATCACGATTTGAGACTATTCATCACTCATTGGCCTGCAAACTTCGTAAAGCTATATACTATTTGATGAGGACCTCGTAAGAACACCCATGCTAGAACATTTGATAATAAAAGAAGAACAAGACATGAAGATTCATCAAGAGAAGATGACAAGAGCAAAATTATAAGAATTAGAGAAGGAGATTGCAAATCATGGTATAGAACATAGAAATCTCTTTTGTAAATAAAAAATTCTTTGTTTTAAAATATATTTGAAATTAAAATTTTTCTTTACAAGAATTATTATAAAGTATCCCTAGAATATTCAAAAAGAATATTCTTAAGATATTCGTCAAATATTCTAATTAAATTATCCTATAGAAAGTGGTTAAGAGTCATTAACTAACTCCAACTAGCTAGAACAAAGTGGTTACGAGTCATCAACTAACTCCAACTACTTGGTAGCTATTAGTGCACCTAATCACCACATGATTACCTTAAAACAATGCAGAACTCATATAAAGTAGTTTGAATCTTGAGTTGAGGGTGAGGATGAATGTCAATGACCAAAGGGGAAAGGGAATGTGGGGACATGGGAGCTTCAGGGAATGTTAGTAATCCATTATGAAGCTAACTTTGAGAACTTTGAAGAGTTCTGTCTAGATGTTTCCAAATGAGGACAGGCCAAGTTAAAGCTCCAAAGCTTGAGTGAACTAAAATCAATATCTTAGTTGATGGTTTTGATAAAGCCAGTTAAACCAACTCAAGCCTTCACCTTTCATATAGAAAGTAACCATAGGTAGAGCCATTTAAACCAGCTCAACCTTCACCTTTCATATAGAAAGCAACCATAGGTAGAAAATACTCCCAAGAAATCTAGTAAACCACAAAAAGTTGATCGGCTAGGAAAAGCCAATTCAGAGGATTGCAATGCAACCATCAGACAATGCTAGTTGAAGTTTGGATGAGCGGGATGGTGGAGGAATGTTGCCTACGGTTGGAGGTGGGTACATGGGAAAAGGAGTTTGGATGTGGTTGAAATGTGAGGATGGTACGTACAATATTTAAGTTAAGGTTCGAAGGACAAGGGTATTGTTTGGGTGGTGGTTGTCCAGTGAGAATGAAGTGCCTAACTCCCACATAGAGTAGAATAGGATGTTCGGTGCAGTATTTAAGTATTTGGTTCTTCTCCCTAAATAGCTAGCTTTTTGACAGGGTTTCCCAAGTGCTTAAGTGTTTATCAAGGATGTAAACTTCAAGGGCAATAATGTGATCGGGTTTGGATATATGGGTTGGCCCTAGAGGTGGTAACAATGGTGTTTGACCAATTTAGCTGACGTGGCTGTTAAATATCCAAGCTTGGCCTCAAAGAACTGTTGAAGGGATGAGTGGCAAGAATCCTGAAGATGATGAGTATTGTGAAGCTAGGTTTGGAGGGCACTCAGCCTACGGTATCTTCCATCTCCTGGGGCTTGGGAGACATAAGCCAACAAAAGCACCATATTGTTAGGTAACAACAGGTTCAACGACGGAACCAACAATCCTAGCCTATGATTTTAGGGCTACACCTACTCCTTGCATACCGACTAAATTAAGATTAGTTATCCATGTCATTAATTGAAGAACATATCAATAGGCTAAAGCCTATACGAACAAGGATCTAGACTGTACTCCTGGATAGTCCCAAAAGGAGAACAACCTAATGAAAAACTAAAACAACTAATAAAAGTTCTTTAGCCAGACTAGCCTGTGGACCGCCCTAAGCCTAGTTGTTGCTTCCTGATTCATAACAATGGCTTGCGCTTCCTATCAGACTAACCAATCTATCTATACAGGCATATGCATATATATTATGCACATTATTGATTACAAGAGGAATCATCTCCTATATTAGAGCAAATTGGGACTAACAATGAGTAACCTATACTACACATTATGCATGGTGCTTAACTTTAATGCTTAACTCAGACAGCTTGAAAGGCACAAAGACAAAGTGATGTTTCCAAATAGCATCAAAATTTAGAGATCAAATTATCTCTAAATTCTGACAATTAATCCAGTGTTTTGTGGTAAAACACAGCCATGCTTTGTCCTACCCACAATTATCGTGAAATCCTAAACTCGATGCATAATCAAACCGCATTGAATAAGTGAAAATAACAATCTGATGCAGAAGAGGAAATTGGGAAACCTGAGCACCAGTCTGTGCAGCAGTTTTAACCACTTCAATTAGCTGAGATGGTGGAATGGGCCCCGTTGATCGGGCACCCACCTTGGGAAACTTTTCAGATAGTAAAGAGTTGGTAATGAGGGGCTGCGTCCTCGATTTGGAGAGAAATGGATACGAACCATTTCGATGAAACTTCAAAGGGTAAATATGAGAAAATTTAAGTGGAGAAGACAACGAGCGTGGTGAGGTAGAAAATCGAGGGGAAAGGGTTCCAATTGCAGAGAAGACAGTTGACATGATTAGTTGTCAATTCAGAATGCCTTCTGTTTTGACTCTTCTTTTCCTCTGCAAGCGCTTCTGTGTGGAAGGCCGAACCAGCGGTGTATCGAAACTCCTCCACTAATTTCAGCAAAACGATGGATAGTTTCTAAGATACACAGTTGCAGGAAGAAAACATCAACAAAATCTTTTAATTTTGGGTAATAATGTTATTTACTATATAAATTATTCATTATTATATCAAAAATGAAAAAAAAAAGTTGTATATGTTAAAATAAGTAAACAATAAAAGAAAAAATAACAAAGAAAAAAATATAAAATATTTCATCAGAAATTATTAAATATTTATTTATACCTTTATGTTAAATCAGCTATTAGCCATTAAATATGATTATTTAAAAAAATATTCTTACTAAATATCTTAATCATTTAGTAAGAATTTTAATAACTAAATTAATCAAATTAAATTAAATTTAAATTTATCATATACAATTAAATTTTATAAATTTAAAATATAATTTTAAAAACTTGATTGAAAATAATAAACTACATATTGAAAATAAAAATAATTGTATTTAATTATAAATTATTATATATAATAAAATTATGACCATTATTTTGAAAATTATACTAAAAATAACTTATAATTAATTAATATTAAAAAGTTTTACATATTTTTGTAATTTATATTTTTTATTTACTTTATTTTAATTATTATAATTTATATTATCATATTTGTCAATTCTTAGGAAAGTTTGGCATCTGATCAAATAGAAAAAGAAAAAAAATATATATATATATATATATATATATATATTAAGGATTTCAAAAAATATTTTAAAAAAAAAATACATTATATAATTTCAACGTATCAAAGTATTTATAGAACTCTATTTGGATAAGATAATTTAATGATATCATCTCATATTTATAAAATATGTTTAAAATATTTTCGTAACATTTTAAAAGTGTTTAGTATATAAATTTTGTATTGAACAAACAAATAAAGATAGTGTTAAAAAAATAGTTCGAGATGAGGTAATAAATATAATTTTTTTAGAAGATATTTAATATATTTTTTTAATAAAATTTTTAAAAAAATTAGAACCATAACTATTGTAAACAAGTAAATTAGATTACATATAAAAATATTTGAGTTTTATATTGTTTAACTAAAACTAAGTAATATTTAATAATCTTATATAGATTACCTTTAATCTTCTTATAGATTATTTTGGACAATATTTTAATTTTCGTGGAGTTAAAATTTCACAAAAAGTTACTCTTAAGAGTTAAAACACAATTTCACAATATTATTTATATCGCATCAAATATTATTTTCCACTTCTCACTCTTTTAAGTACATTAAGTTCTTATAGGCATTTTGAACAAAATTAACTCTCACTATGAGAATATGACATTTTTCTAGATATTAGAGTTTTAACTCAAATATTGAATGATCTTATAAGTGTAAGTTCTCTTAATAACTTTATGACTGAAGGATATATAAGTATAGAATTTTCTTTTAAGTTGAAAAACTCATATTATTTTATATATAGGATTTCACAGCATTTCTCCAAATTGGTTATTCATTTTGCATTAGTTTCTTTATTGCATGACTTGAATCATTATTTGTAGTTTCATAAACAAATAGTTTGGAGCCATAAACTAAGTGTTAACTTTACCTAATATATGTGTTTTGACAAATTTTGAGCCTTCTGAGAGTGTATGCAACTTTTGTTATAAATAAGATGCATGCTTATATATTATCGAGAATCATATTATTATATTGTATTATTGTAACTTTAACCCAAATGAGCAAGCTAGCTTGTGAGTAAAAAATTATTTTTCATGAATGTATTAATTTTTACATAAAAATGTTAGACATTCAATCATATTGTTACTTGATTCAATGATCAATTGAGTGATAACACATAAATTTAATTTAATAATTATATGTTGGTATACCATGATTATCAAATCATATCAAAAAATTATAGAATATTATGATAATAAAAAGTATTCTCAAATAGATTAGATAAATTATCTTCAAACTTTTTCATATTGATAAACTGAATAATAAGAATTGTTCTTGTTGTATATATAAATTATGACACCTTCATCAATTAGAGGTAAATACTATATTTTTTTATGAAAATTTGAATGAAGAGGGGTACATGATTTCGTCTCCTTAAATTAATAACAATCAACCTTTTTAATATTTGAAATTCCTAAAATTCATATACGAATTAAAATAAGTATTTCGTTCATTATATTATGAGAAATTATCAATATTATTCTTATCTAATAGATATTGTCAAATTTAAATAAATCACAATAATTAAAGAAATAAAATAATTTACGATCTTAAAATATGAATTAAGTAATTAAAGAAATAAAATAAAAAACACTTAATTTTTATATTGATTCATTTTATATTTAATCGTTTTCTAATAAAATGTTAACAACCTCTCCTATAATTAATTAATTCTAATCAAGTATTGTTTACGTCATTTAGAAGAATTTTATCAATATATATAAATTAAATTCAATCATATTTGAAGACTATTATAAAATTGAAATTGAGGATGTATTTCAAATCTTCTTTTTGTAGAAGATATAAATATAATTTTTTGATGAACACTTATGTTATAATATATTGTTTAACATGAATTATTGGCGCGATTTTTCTCTTATTATTTTGTTAAAGTAAAATTCTGCTTTTAAGTTACGATCTATTTTTTTAATAATAAATTAAACTTTATCATATAAAAAATTAAAAATGAAATTATATTTTAAAACACAACTTACATATATTCTTTAATTTATTCAAAATCTACCTATTTTGGCAATTTTTTAACAGAATACCCCTAAAACGTAAATTATCGGTGGTTTACTTGGTCTGAGGTTATTATTCTTTTCTGATGTCCGATATCAATGTGTGACCACTTAATATAAAAATTACACTATATACGCTTTTCAATTTCTAACGTATATAAAATATTTTTTAGGAATTAAATAATTTCGATTATGACTCCCTATATACTATGGTTATTCTTATGGTTTACTATAGCAGACAAAAACAGTTTATACTGTAAATATTCATAAAGATAGTTTGATATTTGATTTTTTTTCAAAAACTAAAAAACTTGTGGGGACACAGTAGTATGCGTGTTGGATTTCTCATTTTTGTGTATGAAATCTTTCCCTGCAAGCCACTCAAATCCTTATTTCCCTTGCAGTTTACAATAGGCATACAAACAAGACCCAAGGAAGCCAAGAACTTGACCAAGAATATTGAACTGTGAAAGAATAAAGCATAAGACAAAAGTTTAGAGAGCTTGGTGAAATGGGACACTCATCAACAAATTCAAGATTCCAAAGGGATTTGTCCTTACCAAGTCATATGGAAGTCCTCCAAATAGTAACCAACCAAGGCCACTTGTAAAAACATCCTGGACCAGGAAACAGTATATACTTAGGAATCTATCAGAAACACCAAATTGTTTTCTTCACAATTAAATAGATATCCATAATGATACCAAAGATGAGGTTTGTAGTTTCACTGTTGTATTTGTATCTCTAGATTTGATATTTGAATACACATCTCCTTCAGGAGAATTGTAACTGACCTTTAGATTACCACAGATTGCCTGTGTAAGTGCCGAGTTGATAGTTGTATTCAAAACTACTATGTAGTTTATAAAGAAAGTGAAAGCACAAGAAAGAAACATCACAACCTGCCCAAGATTCCAATTTCATCATATAAGACCTCCAAAAATTATCATTGACAGACATAATGACAATGATGTTAAATGCTTGACAGAAACATACGTTATAGTTCTAATACATTAAAATTAGATATCAAAATTCAATTTGTACTAGTTAAGAAAACAAAAAGGAACCTGAAATCCAGGGTAGAAGAAGTATGGGAAGTTTAGAGTTGTTTGGAGGTCTCCTCTGAATATGGACCAGAGAAACAAGATTGGTCCACAAATCACAACTGAATACAAAATAAGAGTTAAGAAAAAGAACAAATGACATTTCAGATTAAACCCAACTGCATGATCACTAAATCTTACCATTGCACCATACAATACCAAAAATATTGAGGCCACTAGATTTACCTATGAAAAGTTATATATCTGTCAATTAAAGATGCCTAATATGATCAAAGGAATGAGGTGAAACAAGAAAATGACGAAATCTTACCAACATGAGAAACAGAGGCAAGGTATACTGCCTTACACATGTTTTCTATAAATACAACCGAATAGGAATACGAATCAAATGTCAAGTCGCGAGCTCCAGCAACAAAAGCCCCAGCTATGATTATCCCAACACTGGTAAATACCTTAGCTCGTTAGGCAATGTAACATAATCTTTCAAGGATTGAATGTAGGAAAAACTAAATGGCCTCAACAAGATCTCTTTGCTCGAATACATCATGCTCTTGTTAAGTATTCAGACATCATCTTCATCAGCAAATTAATCAATCAATCAATCTTTATAATATGTATAAAAGTTTGTGATTGTTATTTGGTCACAAGACAAATAAAAACATGACCAGAACAAGTAAATGTAAAACAGGTAACCATTCTCCAAGGTTCAAATAAATATTGTAAATGACCCAAGTCCAAGTAGTGAATAAGAATAGTGAGAGTGACATACCTTCCAACAACAAATCTTGAATGTACCTGCCCTGACAGAACATACTCCATAACCATTGTGAAGGCCACTACAGTTCGCCTCAGGGTGGTGTACATGGGAATGTTTATGCCTCGCACTGCTTCCATTGTCACTATCTAGGGCATAAAGACTGGTTGGAGAAAACTCATGTGGTTCTCTTGTCAAGGAAAAAAGTTCAAAATGTTCACAAGTGCTTACCATAAAAAGCAAATAAGTTAAAGCAAGAGGAAGTGTCTGGGCTAATGTCCTAAAGGACACAAATACTGCTGAATTGTTAGAACTGCTCAGCGATTCACTAGTTGTGAATGAAATTATCCTCAAGGATTTCATCACGTAGAGAATAACAAATGCAAAAACCATCTGAAACCAACATGAACCATAACTTTTCAGCAGTATAAACGGTTATTGAGGATGGAATGTGTATTATCTGGTCATTAACCACTAGCTCAAAGAGATAGTCAAAAACCATTTTGAAAAAGGAGCTACCTGAGCAAGTGTGATGACATTTGCAAATGGGAATTTGTAAGAGGAGAGGGCTGCTTTGTTGAACATGACCAAGAGAACTGTAGAAGAACCAGTCATTACAAAGAATTGTTACAATGGCAGATATATCTATAACTTCTCTTATTGATAGTAAGAAATTTACATGAGGATTTAGAGAGAAGGAGGAGAGACTTGTCTAGAGAAAGGGGGGGAGGTTCTTGCCCAGCATAAGGGACTTATGGAACCTTATATAGAAAATGGAAAATATTAAACTAATGAATAGTAATTTACATGTGGGACCCACTCATGACTTATGGGTCTCAAAACTTAACAAAGAAGAAATCCTACGGAGGAAACTTCCTCACTAAGAAACAAAAATAGTAAAGTGAATAGTAATGGGCCTAGTGGGCCCAGCAAATTTTTTTTTTTTTTTTTTTTTTTTTACATTTTATCAAAAGACTGATTCAATCTTACCGTCATTAACATGCAAGGCTTAATGAGCCTAACAACATGTAACGGAAGAGGAATCGTGACAAGGTAGCAAGATATCATTATCTGCCATTAACCTTTGTCGTCTTTTGATACAGCTATGTATGACGTAAGGGCTTACGTCATGAGAAGCTCCTCGAAACTTTCAAGGGCAATTTGGTCTTTGTAGGGCTAATGACGTGAGAGATTACGCCATTAGGAGTTCCTCAAAATCTTCAAGGGTAAAGTCGTCTTTATCAGAAAGACTCATTGGTTGTGGGGAGGCGGGATTTGTACAGTTCCGCCGTACATGAGCAGCTTTGCCAAATTTCACCCAAAGACTGATGGTGGTGGTTTCGGCTAACAGCTCTTTATGGATATCTTCATCCTGGAATTGATCATACCTCGCTGTAGTGAAAGGAGGATTTATATGATCAATCTTTTGGAGATTATCACTGAAACTGATATCAGTGAATGACTCAGTATCCAGAAACCAGTGATGTTTAGCTGGATAATATTCCCCTTTTATGCTGTAGGGGTGTGTTGAGAATATTTCAATGAAATATTCCTCTCTGTAATTGTTTCTAAAGAACGCATTTATCCAGTAATTTATCTTGGTACCGAAAAATGGTTCTATCATAGAGTTTCTGAAAATTATCATCCTTTTCATGAATCCTGAAAAGAATAAATCTTCAGTTAATTGTTTACTGATCCAAGCAGGATCACATTCCACCAAATAAGGGTTTATTCCGATATTGTACTGATCGGAAGATGAGGGTGCCGAATCATCTTGATATTGGACTATCCTCAAGTATAGGCGGAGTGTAGAGTCTACTGGTAATTGGAATAACCAGTTTTGTAGTGCTCCAAGTTCTACTAATAAGGCAACAAAAACCTGTTCGTAGATTTTTTCTTGGATTGGGCCGGGAAGTTGTCCCAAAAATTTTCTTTTGAATGACCCAACATAGGCCATTTTATTTGTAAAAGTTCCATAATCAATGGTTTCGAAACCATAGTCCATCTTTTCACGGAGTTCTAAGATTTCGATCTTTAAATCTTTATTTTCTATTTCCAAACGAGAAATATGTTTTTGAAAATCATTTTTCTGTAAAGAAAAAGAGTTTTTCAATTTTTGTTCCATTTTCTTGGCAAAAACCAAGCGTTGTTTAAGTTTAATGGAATCATAAATTGAAAAATTCTTTTGTTTTGTTGGTTTTTCAAAAATGAAATTACCAACTTCGGGATGGTCCAACAGGCTGTTGTCACCTCCAACATAGCTGACCATCGCTTGTACTGCTTCTTCAAGGTTATCAAATCCTTGAAATTTGCTGTGTTTGTCATTACCTATCGCCTTCAACAGAGAGGGATATGATAGGTAGACGCCACGCTTGTCTCCAGTAAAAAGGCAGTAGGCCTCTTTCTTGGGTTTTTTAAAAACAGCGGGCAACATTTTTGCAAAGTAATAATTTAATGCAGTAATAGCATTAAATTTAGTAGTAGTATTACAAGCTCGATGAAGAGCATCAAGTAATACCTTTTGTTCCCTTGAAACGGGACAGTTCCTCAGACATTTGAATTGTTGAGGGTGACCTTCTGGTAAAACCGGAAGATGCTGTGTTCCAAACTTTAGAGTATTAAACTCTTCAGTTGTTGAGGCTGGTAACTTGCCTTTGTTGATTGGGTTTGCCATAGTAGTACCTGTATAACTGAAGGAACTCTGCAATACCCTTTTGTTAGTTTCCTTAAAAGAAGAAACTGTAGTATTCATTAGACAATATCCATAATCATCTAATATATTTCCTAATTCATTATATTTATTATCCAGTTGAAAATCATTTTCATTTGGATAAAAGTGAATGAATTCATTATTTGTGAAATCATTTATTAGGTCATAATCTTTATGGCTTTTATCTAAATTGATTTCATCATTATACTCTGTAATACTAATTACTGATAGTATTTCAGAGTCAGTAGAAACATCTTCATCTATTGGAAGAAGGTTCATGTGGCAGGATTTTATCAATTCTGCCTCTTTAGTGTAAAGATTTGTAATATTAGGACAATCTCTAGAAAAGTGTCCCGGTTGATTACAAGCAAAACATTTTAAAGTTTGCTTGTATGTTTTGTTTTCTCTAAATTTTCTGACGTGTCTATCAGGATTTAGAGTTGGTTTTCTAGAATTTGAAGACCTAATCGTGTAAGTCTTTCTAGAAGTTGTGGGTTTTTGTCTTTCAGAATAAGAATTCTGATTGTAGTTTTTATTATACCTAGGTTTACTTCTAGGTATAGGCCTTCTGTAAGGCTTGTTTTGATTATACTGCTGAGGAGTATAAATTTGTTTGCAAATTCCAGCATCGGAATTTTTCAATTGCTTTTGAATAGCAATATGTGTACACGTATCTTCCATCACTTTCATGATGTGTTGTATACGTATAGAGAGGTTGTTCAACATGGGAGTAACCTCTTCATTTTTCCAGGATTCTCGGATCTTTTGGCCAAGTTTTCCTGGTAGTTTGAGAAACATCTTTTCTCCAATGCTTAAATCATGGAAACATCCAGCTATGGATGCATACATGAGATAATCTTGTAAAAATTCTTTTATCTTTCCAAAGTATGTTATGGAAAGTCTTTCTAAATGACCCAGATAAATCTGTTGTCTGAGTGTGTTCCCATCATTAGCAGACTGGGAAGTAAGCAATTTAATACAGGAAATACCTACTTTCTTAGGAAAAGAAGAAAGTACAAAAAACAAAAATTTAATCGACACTAGGACTCCAGTCTTAGAAACCCGATTAAACATACTTGAAGAAAAGACTCTTCACTTAGAAAAAATTGTAAAAGAAAAAGATACACCAGATAATGTGTCTTTAGTTTCAGAACCTTTGGTTGGGTTCGTTAACACAAATGATGAACCAACAGATACTCTGGATAATGTATCTTTAGGTTCAGAACATTTGTCTTGGATAGACAACACAAATAGTGATACATTAGATAATGTATCCATAATTTCAGAACCCTTATCAACATTAGGGTTAGTAAATACAAATGAGGGATCAAATAGTTATCAACCTCACAGCTATCAGTTACTACCTGATGGTATACACAGTTACTCTGTCGGTTTTCCACCTAGAGTAGCACCACAAAATGTTGTCTTTAGCGACAACCAATACACAACATTAGGCAAGAGGCTTCCGATAGAGCCAAACTTCCAAATGCCTAATCTTCTTTTAAACATAGGAGGAATAGATCCTCAACTATTGCCAACATACATTGAGCAATGGACTGCAGCTATAATCCGTGATTATGGCATACATCATGAGAAAGATGTTCACTCTTCTCAAGAAATGATTGCTAAAGCTGAAACCTATTTAGGTGATATAGCTAGAGCTTGCTGGGAATCTTTTAAGAAAAATTACCCAGCCGACTTAAATATGTTTGTGATCGAACCAGGTCCTAACATATACAATTTTTGTTCTTTGTTACAAAAATTGCTTACTTCTCAGTCTGCTAATGATAAAAACAACACCATTTATTTTATACTGTTGGAAATTTCCAATTGCATCGCATAAAGAAGTAAAAGACTAGAAGTGGGAAATTTTCATCCTAAAAATGGACAGTTTATGAACACAAAGTCATAACTTTTCAAAATATATAACCTTTCTGCAATAACAGTTGTGGTAATCAAACTTCAGTAAAAAAAAATAGAAAGACCAATACTTGTTAAAATGTCCCACAAATATGGTCAGAAGATTTTATAAGACTTGGACACTCTTTCTCCAAACTAGTTTTTAGGAATGGACTAGGTTAAGTTCATCTCTAATATTGCTGGTTTCACTCATCATCACCTTAAATTCTCTCGTTTATATTTTAACACTAACTTCAGTGCAGAGGTTAAATTTTGATTTTATACGAGGAGATGCTTAAAAAAATATTCTATATTACGCATGTTTCTATCTTTGAAAGAAAGGAAAATGGCAAGGAAGAAAATAAAACACCTTTACAACCAACACATCTTCAAGATCTCATCTGTTTTAAAAATTACACGTACATAGACTTATTTAAGAAAAAATAGTTTCAAGAAATTAACACATCAACATTATATTTTTAGTAACTAAAATGGTGTTACTAAAAAAAGCAAAAGTACCTTGGAAAATAAAAAGAGGAACAACCCAAGCAAAATAAATTGTCCTCCAGAATTTCATACAAGAATCATTACCTGGAGAGAAAGATAATTACTCATGAAAGGACGTAATTCCTGAAAAGATATATTGATACCAAATATGACTGCCAATTAACATGCCAAAGCCGCTTAGCTGACAAGGCAATGTTCCTGGACACCCACAGCCATATCAAGAATAAATGCTTCAATTATTAAATATCTTTTTTAAGTTTTTATATTTTTGTTCATTATATTTTAAAAGTTATTTAATAAAATTTTAAATTTAAAAATAAGTATATAAATTTAATCTTTTTATTAATATCATTACTAAATATAAAAAATATTAAAATCGTATATTTTATTAATTTAACCCCTCTGTTAACTTTGTGTGATAAACAATCATTACTAAATATAGCATATTTAAATATAAATAACATGTTTAAATATAAAAATAACTAAAATCATTTAAAAAAAATAAATAAAAGATCAAATCTATTAATTTAAAAATACGAAGAAAAAAAGTAAAAAAGAAAACAGATTCATACTTATCTTTTAGTAATATTCCTCATGATAAAATTCTACAAGATTGTATAAGCGGGAATTTTCGTTATGAAATTAATTATTTATTCCTTAACATTACAAGAAAGTGATTTGTTTATTCTTTAGTAATATTCTATAAAAGGTATAGGTCATGATAAAATTCTAAAAGGTCGTATAAGTGGACATTTTTTTATGAAAATTTTAAATTTCTCTTATTATTTATTCTTTATATTGCAAGAAAGTAATTTTTTTAGTTATTTTATTCTATTTTAATATTAGTAAATAGAGGTTTGAAAAGAACTAAAAAAGTAGGAAGAAATTTTAAGATTTTGCTTGAATCATCATCACTTGGGAATTTACTCCATATTCCATTACCCTTTGTTTGGTAAAGTGGAGGGAAGATAATGACGAAGTAATTAATATTAAATGTTTAGTGGATGAAAAAAGAACAAAAAAGGAAAAGTTATGATATTTAAAATATTATTTTCGTCTATTTTATTAAAGTTATGGAATTAAAATATTATTTTCATCTATTTTATTAATTTTTTTATATTTTTATTTCCTATCGAATCAACCAAATTATATAATTTTTTAAAAATATTTTATTTCTTTTTTATTAATTTTTATTTTGTCAAACAATTATATTTAAAAAAAATTACCTATTTTTTATTATATTTATTTTTCTTCTCAACTTATTTCTTCACTATTTCAATTATATCTATTTATGTTCTGGTAAAAGCAACAATACTTATTGATTAATTTTGTTCTCATTTTATCAAAATGGCCCCGTAGAAAATAAGACGAACTTTATTTTTCTTTAAAGATCATCAACACAATGTCTTATTGGGTAGTGGAATAAAGGTTAGATATGAAAGAAAAAGAAAGGAGAAGAAGAAAATGTGGATCTGATTTAATGGAGGATCACGTAAAAGAGACAATGTTTATGCGAGTATGTGGTGAAACAAGAAAAATGTGATTTATCAACTGTGTAAGCCATTGTTTCACTCGTGACGGAGATCTTCTCATTATTTTCAAGATGAGATGTTCACTTTCGTTTGGATAAGCTGATCTTCCAACTCAAAAACTTGTCGCTTCAGTGAAGACAATGGCTCGTGGAGGAAGATAGTTGATCATGTTTAAGAATAATAATAATGGAGATTATACTAGATAAATTTATATAATATATAATCGAATTTATATATTATATAATATATATGTATTTTATTTTCAATTAAAATTTATGTATCGTTTTGCCTAGAAATAAGAGTATTTTAACTTCATGTTTATTATTAAACTACTATTATCTTCACTCTCTTATATGACATGAGTGAAATGAAACCGAATTTTCCCTCTCACGTATGTTGATAATATTGTTAAAGAAAATGACTTAGCTTCGTATCCACGTGATAATGTTATTAAAAAAAGAGTTACTATCAAGAATTATTTAAAAATAAAAATAAATATTTTATTATAGATTTTATGTCTGAATTGTTTAAAAGTAAAAAAAAATCATAATTTTAACATACTCAAATAAAATATTTAATTTTATTCTTAAATAACTTAAAAATATTTTTAAGATAAATTCTTAAGATATTATTTATTTTAAAACTCTCGTTTATACTACTTTTATTCGTGAAAAGCACCTTTATAGATTGATAACATGATGTATTTAACTAAGAACAGGAATATGTACTTAAGCTAACAACGACAGCGAAAGATTTAGACGGGAACAAATTCTAAGACAAGGTTTTAGGGTTGTTAGATTAATTTAAAGATATCCTTAGAAGTAACTAAGAGATGTCACAGATGAAGGCACTGTGGCATATAGCCCAGCATGTCGACCCGTCCCTGTGAAGCAAAAACTAAGGCACAGTCGTGACTTACCCTTCTGCACGCACGCGCGACAGCAATAGACCCCTGTGGGGTCACTTCAAAAAGGAGAAGGACGGAAGCAATATGAAGCCTAGGGAGAAGTAAACCCTTACACATCATAATCCAATCACTTTCTATATGAATCAACTACCATTCAATAATGCCAGCTAGGGCCTCAATTTTGCATCTTGAAGTTGACACTTGTAAATTTTCTTTAATGGAGCACTGCTTACCATGATTCCGACTTCATCCCTTCCACTGTTAACTTTTTCTGCTGTTATATCATAACAGTTTACGGATCACCTCCTCAAACCAGACAAATTCTCTACTGTTTATACATATACTCTTACAATTTAACAACACCTCACTTCAGATATGGTCCCTACCCACCACCTTATTTTCAACGACTTAATATATAGCTTGATCCTTCAAAACACCAACTTAATTACATTGCTCTACTTCTTAAAACTTGGACTCTAATCTAATAGTGATAGTCTTATTTTATCACATTTCATTTTTTCACTTGAACTATTGTTTCACTCATTTAACATTGGTTCTTTGCATACGTATGCACCAGAACAATGTATATGACATTCTCTGGTTCAACATGAAACAAAAACAGGTTTAGAATCTTTGGAGCCAGGTATATATATATATATATATATATATATATATATATATATACTAAGTCACAGGTCACCCTGCACTACTGACTGAACTATTTATCAAATTAATCATGCATTTTTTAATAGCAGCACACAGATGATTTATCTAATTTTTTGTTTTTGTCATTTGTAACATGGGTTTTGACCTAATCTCTATGTCTTGATTCTTTTTCTCTTTATTGTATATCTTTAGAGGTGATTTTCAACATCATAGCTTCATAGAAGAAGAAAAAAATGTTTAGACTGAAATTGCTTTAAACAAGTCCTACTGTTCATATTCAAACGTGATCAGAGACTCAAAACACCAAATAAAACATGAGCATATAATCATTTTCATCCTATATCATTTGAAAATTATCAACCATATCCCTTCCCCCATGTTCAGCAAATTTAGAAACAAAGAAAAGAATTAGAAAAAAGCAAGTACGTGATGATAAGTATAGTTACATCAGGTTGAATCAAAGTAGAGTGAGGGAACTACTGAGTAATATACATGCTTAGAAAAACGAAAAGATTTATGCAGTATATATATATATATATATATATATATAACCAAGAATACGTATATTTAAAGTGGTAAAAAACGAACCCGAAGAGGCCATGTAAGATAAAGCAGCGAAGACTCCTTTTCTTGTCATGGTTGAAACTTTTCGTTGTCTCTCTTCACTCTGCTTTGGATCATCATGAGAGAGTGGAAGCCTCAGATTGTTCTCAGACTCCATTGATGTCGCTTACGTACTGCCACTGATTCGTTTTATTTTCTTTTGCCTGAGAATTTGAGACGAGAAAATGTTGTTTTATAAAGCAAAGAGTGGAGAGAGAGAGAGAAATAGAGAGTGATAAAGGGACGTGAGAAGAGGTGAATTTGTATAGCATGATACTGGCTGATTTTTTACCTTACACCATGACAAACAAAATGGCCAACATGTGATTGACTCATAAATGGTTTTTGGTCAACGTTGGGTCAAAATGTTAATTGGCAAAGTACATCTGTTTTTCCTTATATATATAATATATATCAATAACTATGACAGGAACATTGATTAACAGTATACACAGAAAATCATTCTTAACCCACCTCCAATGTACAATTTGCTTTATTAATATTATAATCATAAAATGATAAATTAAATTAATTAAAAATTATCATTTTAATAAATGAAGTTATCAATTAATTGTTTGAAAAATAAAAGGTTATCTAATGATTTTTTTCTAGAATTAATTCTAGAAAAATAAAATAAAAGTTATATATGAAATTTGGCACATCAGCTCTTTTGGCAGAAATTTCTTTTATTTTTAGAAGGGATCTTGTTTAAATATGATAAAAAAAATATTGTTTAATTTAATTTAACTATACATTTAGTAATATAAGCGCATATCTAATAGTAAAAAAAAAGTTTCATGAAGGAAATTGTATTTTGTGAACCCATATTCTCATATTATAATTAAGAAATTTTGTTTTAACGGTCGAAATTTTTTTTAATCCTTTCTAGCTAGTGTTTTTTTTCTTTCTGAATTCTCTTCTCTGCAACTTCTAGAATTACACCTCTCTCTCAAATGATAAAGTTTCTTGAAACAATTTATTTTCTAAGAACTACACGTGAAATAAATGCTTAATAAAATACAAAGTGTTAATTACAATCGCATCCTTTTTAATTTTTATAATTACTAAACACTAATTTTAATGTTACAATAAATTTCTTAATTTTTGAAATTCCATTTTTTTTTCAAAAATATCTCTTAAGATTTGTTATAATTACATTTGTACTCCATTCTTTCTTTCTTTTTTATTCTAAAGAGTCTCTTCCTGAATTTTTGTGATCTAATTTTTTTTTAATTATAAAAAAATTTGATAAATAAATAATTTGATAGTTCAGATTTTCTTGACTTTAACACAGTTCAAATGATCCAACTTGGTCACAAACAAGTATTTAATATGGGATGAATTGCAATTGTTTCAAGAATGAGGAAGATTCACCTACAAAGACACAATTGAATCAAGGAGAGAAATATTCACCTATGAAGACACAATATGAGAAGGATTTACCTACATAAAAGATATTTTAATTAAATAAGTAAAGTACATATCATTTTTCGTAAGAAAGTAACATATGATAAAAAAAAAGTTAAATAGTATAATTTATAAACGTCTTACCACATATATTTTAAATAATAAAAATACTTATTTAATGACAATAATTTATCTTTATTATGATATTAACCATTAATTAATAAGTTACCTTCATTTCCTCCTTTTTCACAAATATATGTAATTTGAATGAAACTTCTAATGTAAAAAATGTCCTTATCACCTTCATTAACCATTCATGTCGACCATGCAAATGGTTTTTAACTTTGAAAGTTTGGACACACCGTGGATTCTCTCATGATTTGTGTTTCGGTGGGAAACTCATTTTCTCCATTTGTAGAAGGTATTATTGAGTGATATTTTTTTATCAATATTAAATGGTCTTAATGACTTCAACTATAAAAATAGGTTAGACATTTTGTGAGAAACATTTGTTATCATGTTTGACACTCCAGTTAATGAAATGAGATAAGGGTATTATGTATTAGTTTTGTAAAATATATGGAGTGCTCATGTAATATGTAAAAGAAATACATGTGAGATATTTTAAAAATTGAAGGATACTTTAGTAATATTTGTAAAACATAAGGATACTACAATAAAATGTAGAAAATAATGAAAATCTATGTTATTAGCTAACGATAAATTAACGAAGTTAGGTTAAGGATAGCAAAGTAATGATTTTAAATGGAAAGGGTACATGTTACAACAAATTTTAGAAGTGTAATTACAACAAACATAAGTAAGATGGATTAAAAAAAAAAGGTGAAAATTACGCTTCCTTTCATCCTAAATTATATTTACACTTGTATGAAATGCTTCACTAGTGATGTGTGTATGATTTGAATTTGAGAAGATATTATAATAGAATTGTAAGGAGAGATGAGTGAATATCTTTAGTCATTTCTTAAATTATTCCTATAATATTTTGATTTTGAATTGTTTTGATACAAAACCATTCTAAAACCAATTTTTGGAGAATTATTACTTGTGTAAGATTATAGAAAATTTGATATCAAATTAGTTTAATAATTCTTTTACTTTTCAAATTTTTATTTGAATTCACAAATTTTGGGATGTCTTATTAAATTATAAATTATTGTAAATTAGACATTCAATTTTACACTATAAATTTGTGAATAATTGATGAGTTCATAGTTTTCATAGAGGATATTGGGAAATTAGTGTGTTTAATGGTTTGGGTTTGTTTCGATTGGGTTGGGTAGAGTTTGATTGGGTTTAGTTCATTTGAGTTTAATTTGGTTGGATTGGTTTCATTCAATTCGATTTAATTGTATTGAGTTTGGTTCTGTTTATTTGATGATAAGAAATCCTTTAGTGCAATTCAAGTCATCAAATAAGATATGAGATAATGATTTGTATATTTATGAAAGTTTGTAACAAAGTCTCGATTATTTAAAGGAAATTTAAGGCAAAATTTTAATTTTTTATGGGTGAAATAGGAGTTAATGATTTGGACTTGGGAAGAGATAAGTAATTGGGATTCGAATTACAACACTAGTTATTGAATATTTTTTGTCATTCTTTAAACTATTCATATAATACTTTGATTTTGCATTGGGTGGATGTGAAACAATTTTAAAATAAGTCCATAGTTACGTATTTAAGTTTATATGAAATTGATTTCTTACTATTTTAATGATTATTTACTTTTAGGTTTTGATATGAATTTATAAATTCTTATATGTTTGATTATATTATAAATCCTTGCAACATAAATTTGATATTTATTATATGGAAATATACTAGAAAACAACGACATGGAATGATTGGTTGAGTCAAGTTAAATTTGATAGGATTTAATTTAATGTATTTCCATTAGGTTCTAAAGTACGTGAGTCCAAATATAATTATCTCACTATAACATTTTATACACAATATTTTAAAATAATTTATTCAATCACAATTTTAAATTTAATAACAATAATTAAATCAAATAATATGACACATCATAATTTAGATTTTTTAACATATAAAAGATTTACCAAATTTTCTTATTTTTCGACTTCTCTTATTAATGAAAAAACTCTAATAACTCAAAAAGTGAAACTAAATTCTACTCCTAAAAATTTCAATAAACAATTGAACATATTTACACTGTGATTGAATTTTTTATTTTTAAAAATATCGATTCATAACGTTGGAATAAATAATTTAATAATAGTAAAATTGTTTTATATTTTGATTTTATTAATATAATAATAATAATAAAAAAAAATAGTTAATATTATATTAATAAAGTTAAATCTTCGAGAAACTGTTTATTGAGAGTGAGGGTATCAATATATTAAAACAAAGGTGTTATAAAATATAATCTTTTATTAATTTACATATATATATATATATATATATATATACATATATATATATATATATATATATATAAATAAATAAGTAAAAACATAGATATTATTATGATTGTTGTGTCCATATTTTTTATTACAAAATGAAAAAAATTATCAAAATATTAAAGATAAAATAATTTTAAAAATATTTAATAAAAGATAATCAAGAACTACTAATTAGTCACCAAATCACTTAAAATAACTACCAATTTTACTTAAAATAATCACTAAACAAATAAATTCATAAAATCAAACTACATAAAATCCCTCTTATTTGATTATGTATTTTTTAAAATGCTCATACATCTAAAAATATATAAAAATTAAAATTATTTTCATAGATAAATAGAATATGCATAAAAATTATTAAATGATTAAAAAATTAACCCATTAAAATAAAATAATAAAACAAATATGAATATATATATATATATATATATATATATATATATATATATATATATATATATATATATATATATGAGTATATATTTTCCGCTGGATATATAAAATATGTGTCCATATATCTATAAAAGCCATTAAAATAACAGTTGTCAAAATATTAAAGATAAAAACAATTAAAAATAATTATATAATATTAAAAATAAAATGAGAAGAAATTAAAAAAAGGATTATAATCCTTTTAAGAATAATATAAATATAAATGTATAAATTATCAAAAATACATCCGCCAGATACTTTGTATATCTGATTTTTTTTATGACATTATCTCATTTTAATGAATTAAAATTTATTAATATTAATTTTAAATACATATTTATAAATAAAATATATTATTATTTTTCATTATAACAAATTTATATATCATATAGAAATATCACATTATGTAAATTTAGGTTTTAGAAATTACGATTATTTTTAGTAGAGAACTGATACAGTTATTAATTAGTATTTCATTAAGATAAGTGATAAAATGATCTATTAAAAATAATACCCAAAAAAAAAAAACTTATCATTCAGTTGGAAAGTGGGCCATCACACTCATTCAGTGGGCTATTTTCACGCACGCGCTGCAAAAATAATAATTTTTTTTTAAATATAATTAAATAAAACGAATGACAATCACTCTATCTTATTGAAGTCAGGGTGGGCTAAGGAATGGAAACGTAGACCTAAAAATGAACATAAATATTTTTTTAAATAATATAAATATAAATAATAATTAAAACAATAAGAATGGACCTGGGAGTCCAAATATCAAATCCAAAAGTGAAACCCTATTTCAAAAACTTTTCAGAACCCTATT